AGAAAATAGTCATAAACCGTGGGATAACAAAGATTTTAATGTAACAATAGTTCAACATTTTCTCCAATGCAGGCCAACAAACCTTGAAACTCTATAGGAATCAAAAATAACTTTGCAAACTTAGATGAATTGGATTTGTTTTTTTAAAAAAAAATCGTGATTTCAATTATATACATGTGATCAATCGAAGATTCGGACACTAACAAGCTACTACATTGATCTCCCCTAAACTGGAGATCTTCACCAATATCCCCTATACTTTCTACAGTTCACACAAATGACACAAATCAATTTACAAACCCCTCCAATATATTTTCCTCATGTGACCCACCAATCATTGTTCCTTCACAACTCACCCTCACCGTGATCCAGCCACCACCTTCCATATCCAATATGGACCCATCCAACCCACCAACACATCTCAACCGTCCGATCCTCTCCGAATAACAATCCAACAAGTTTAAACGGTCTAGATTTCTCCAATCCTCCTGTAATTCCTCTGTCTCTTCCTCTTCTACTTCTTCATCCACTGATCTCCAAAACGTCTGATCAGTCACACTTGTCGGTGAGCTCGTAACCAAACCGGAAACCGGTTCAATGTTCGGTTTAGTCATCAAAAACGGATGGTTTAGTAGTTGTGTAGCCGTCCATCTCTCTTTCACTTCTCTTTTCAAACACTTTTCCAAGAAATCCTTCGCTTCTTCCGTAAGCAAACAAGGAAGCTCCGGACTCTCACCCGAATACCCGACCCGATAAAGAACCGAAACCGGACTCTCACCCGTCTCCGTCCACGGCGGAGACCCCGTAGCCATCTCAATCACAGTACATCCAACCGCCCATATATCACTCTCCCTCCCCTGTTCCTCCCCACGCGCCACCTCCGGAGCCATAAACGCCGGCGTTCCCATCACCGCTCCGGAGTCAACTTCCGGGTCGACCCGCTTTGCACACCCGAAATCAACAATCTTAGCCTCACCCTTCTCCCCAACAACCACGTTACTCCCTTTAACATCGCAATGCGCGACACCCCGCGAGTGAACATACTCCAACCCTAGTAGTATCTCACGCGTGTACTTCACGATCATACCTTCCTCTAGCCTCCCTCCGTTCTTCGCCGCCGCGTCGGTCAACGTCCCGTACGGTGCGTACTCCATCAAAAGGTTATACGTGACGACGCCGTTTGACTCTTTCTTGGCTTCTGTTCCTCTGTATCCGATCACGTAGGGAGAATCCAACGACGAGAGGATCTTGGCTTCTCTTTGCAAGAACTCTGATCGGTGAAGCTCGGAGGATTTGACGGCGAGGGTTTCTTTTGAGTTGTGACATGTTGCGGCGTAGACGGTGGCCGTTGAGCCACGTCCTAGGATTCTTCTTCCTCTAGTCCATTCCATTAGGACAAGACTAAAGAACACTTGTTGAGTTTTAAAAAATGGTTTTGTTTTTTTACACTCTGCTGCTATTCAACACGGGGCTTATATATAATGGGTTGGATTAGATAGTGTATACTTTTGGTAACATCGAGTTTATCTACCAACGCTTGTTATTATGAATATAATAACGTGAATATGTTGTTGTGTGTACACGTGAATTTCTTTTTAAAGTTGATAACCAAATGAAAACCTGTTTCGATTTGATTTGATTATTAATTTGAAAAGTAACCAAAATAAAAGAAGAAAATGTGTTGAATATGCGAAGTTTCAAGAGTGTGCCAAAAGAAGAGGTGTTTTGAGAAACGTGAGTGAAATATCAAATGGCATGTGACGTGGCAGTGGAACGTATCTAACGTAAGTTCGTTGGGTATTGATGACGTGGTATTTCTTTAGATTATAGTCTCTAGAAACTGTGGCGTGTCAATCTCTGTGTGGTTTAAAGAAGCTTTTAGTTTTTCTGCCTCCGACCGTAGTTCCGTATCTCTCTCGAGCTACGTGTCCGCAATGTTTAGAAGCTACGTGGTGTTTACAATTGGCCTAACGTTTATTTGTTTTCTCTATTTCGTTATTTGCGTAAAGAAAGAATTAGTGTTAGTTTGATATGTGGTTTCTTATGAGTTTGGTATGAGGGGAAAAAAAAAACTAGTGGAGAGGAGAAGTTAGGCACTTTGGTAGATTTTGATCGATCATCTGCACACTTGGAGGTTTTATCGTCACACTTCATGATCGTCTATATATTTTCAGCATATATATAATTTCTTTAAATTTTTGTTATATTATTTGTATAAATTACTTCGCTTTTAATCTGTTTTCTATTATTTATATGCATCTTTATTTACGTATATTACCTTGTTTTCTTATTTGGTTCTCCTTGATTTTTTGTTCATGCCAGAATATAAACCAAGATTTTCAATGTGTTAATTGTTAAATATGTATTCACACTTACAAACAGATGTAACCCACATTATCACTTCAAGCTTTGCCCTTCGGAAATTATTTTTTTGCTACTTGTGTTATACAACTATTTATTTTTCTAAACAAAATCACAGCAAAGATTTGGGATATCATTTGTTTCTACCGAAGACCAAGACTATAATGTTAAAATCTATATTTAATTGTTCTATATATTTTAGTCAACTTTTTATCATATAGATAATAGACGTTCGTTAAACAAATATTCTGACAAGAATGCCAAATAACAATAAAATAGATGAAGAAGCTTCCTTGATAAATCGTTTAACCCGTTGAAAGAAAATAAACGAAAGTGAGCGGTGGGTTTAACTACCATTATCGGTTGAGGTTTAAGAAATAAATAATCAATGTTAATTATGATTAGGTCTGTTTTATGGTTCTAACTTACGACTTACATTCAAATTAAAGTCAAGTTTACATATAGAACCATGACTAATTAGACTAATGATGATTTTTCTTTGCTTTCCTTTCTACTCCAAATAGCTATTTCATTATCAGTATACGAATATTTTTCTTTTATTTTTAAAACTAGAATGAATTAATTAAAATTTAATATGCGGTATCATACAATTTCTATCTGAAATTTGGAATGTCAAAATGGTGTAAAACACTAGAGGAGAGTTGGGTGGTGTTAAAACTTTACCGTATAAAATGAAGATTACGTCAAAATCGTGCAAAAATGCTTATAAGTAAAAGGTATATGTCGACACTTCATAACGAAAAATTCATTGTAATACTACCTTTTAAGATCCAATAAACACATATCGGCGACAATGTAATCTAGAATTTAACATGACTCATCGCACTTATACCTCTATTCTCCGAATAATAAGTATAATTTTCCTGCTGTTTCGTAAGCTTTTCAAGTAAGTTCTTAGAATATCGACAAAATCCATATAAATACGGAAATGTGTAAAAAGTAATGCGTGTATGTAACACATGACATGAAAACAAGGAAGAATGTAAAAGGGCAAGAACGCCTACTTCAAGCAACAACCTACTCGATTTAATAGTATCTCACTAGAAAACTATACCAAAAAAGATGGAAAGGAAACAAAACTAGAAAAATAAAGGGAGAATTTCAATTATACCACTTTGGTGGTACCACTTTTCATGTTTACCATCAACAAAGAAACATTTTCAAAAATACACATTTTATTAAAGGATAAAAGACTTTTATATCCTTATTTTTTTATATATACATAAAATAAATATTAAATAAAATATTAAACCTAACCCCTAAAACATCAATTCTAAACTCTAAACCCTAAAAAGTAAACCCTAAACCCTAAAAATCAACCCTAAACCCTAAAATATCAATTCTAAACCTTAAACCCTAAACTCTAAACTCTAAAAAGTAAACCCTAAACCCTAAAAAGTCAACAATAAACCCTAAACTATCAATCCTAAACCCAAAACCCTAAACCCTAAATTCTAATAGTATTTTGACTATTAAATTTTTAGTGGTAAAGTTGGTTAGTGTAAAGTTGAAAAGTGGTATCTTGAAAGTGTTATTTTTGGTAATTTCCCAAAAATAAAAGGAAGCACTTATGCCTACAACATCTGGTGGTTAAGAACCAATCCAGAGTCTGAGTATATAATTTATTAAGCTTTTGTTAATTGAATATGAGATATAAATGATAAAATCTGTTTAGTATTTGATTAGTTCTGTAATACTGTTTTAATTCATCAAGCAAGATATTGTTTTAAAATTAGTCTGAGCCACAAAAAAAATTATTAACAAACTAAAGACAAATCTATAATGCGTGAGAAACGCAAAATAGACCTCTTTCGTTGCTTCAAAATATAAACACTAGATATAAAGAGTAGGACATAAGGAACTAATATTCCCTTCTCTCTTTTCTAGAAAAAAACAGGCAAATATGTTTGCTTTTTTTGGATTAGAAAATGGAGATAGTGAATCAGTTTCATATGGTCCATATATTTCAATTTATTTTTCAATCTGGTAAGCTTTAATGTTCAAAAGTAATATTTGATTAACTGCAAACAATTTGCTTACATTACACACTAGTCATCGATGGTACTCAAAACCCGTGAGAATACTTTATTCAGACAGCATTTTAATTTATTTATTTATCCGCAGAATAAGACATCCAGCCAATGAAAAGACAAAACAATCATCTCCAATGATTAGAAAAATCAATACTAGCACAATATAGTACTTCTCTAGGTGTCAGTGTAGATATCGTTTTGATTTTCTTAACATAGATTAATCAACAAAGTAAAATAAAATAGTATGTCCCTACAAAAACAAAGAATTCTTGAAGTTCTTTGTTCTTAGTAGAAGTAACATGAATATATACTACTAGGAAACTTTATCAGGATAAGCATCCAATGCACGCTACCTTTCGAATAGGTTTGATGGTCGTGGACTTCTATGGCGATCAATATTGTTTTTCTGTTTCCAGATTTTGGTAGTGGAGTTTCTACATTTCTAATAGGTTCGGTTTTTAGTTTCTTACTCTTCTGTAATTGTCTATCCATGAATGTTTTCCCTGTGTTTATTAACAACTAAATTGATAGAAATTTGGTTAAAATTTGAGAAAAGCTAAAATATACGGAAAAGATATATGAACAATCAAATCAATATATAAACATGTATGCTATTACTCGTAAGTCAAAACACTCATGAATAATGTATCATGTACATGAGGGAAACATTAGATTTTGGTTAAAAGGTAGGGGTTTAAAGCATTTGAGGAGTTTATTAAAGTAAATATCTCAGCATTAAGATATTAACATGTTTACGAAAAAAACATTTTAAGATAGTTTAAGTTATGTAATTAAAATTTAAAGTGAAAATTCTATCAATAAGAAGATAACAAGTGGTTTGAGAGTCTTTTAACTTTTTTGAGTTTTCAAATAAGACTTTTGTGAAAACATTTGAATTTTTTTATTTTTTTTCTCATACCTTTTTATTATCATTTTTGTACGCTTTTTTCTCTATAAAATTACCAATGCGGATACTATGAATACTTTCCTTTGAGTCCCCATAGTTGTAATATGTGCTTGATCAATGAATCTATTCGTCGAAATTTTCAACATTTTTTCTCTTTTTTTTGGCCATTGTGTATCTTTTTGATTGGCCCTTTTGGTGGCTCTCTTGCTGTTGACCGTGGATCGCGTGTGTTCTTTTAGCTCATGCACGTTTTATGGGTTTCTACTAAAAATACTAGTTTTGCTTATCACAATTTTTGTCGGTTGCTTTGACATTAATGTATCATTTGTCGGCATGTAATACAAAAGAAAAGATATTTGGGCAGACGTTCATGACGTATTCTTATGCGGTGAGAAAATATGAACAAAGCTTGAGAGTGTTTAGCGCTTAAAGTCGTTATCCGACACTACACTTCAGTAAGAAAATCAGAACAATATCTAAATTGTTTATCATGGAAACGTGGTTACTACTCTAAAGTTTCTCTACGATTTTAGTTTATTTTGTGTTTATTTATTGGTAGAATTTCAGAACTGCGGAATGAAACTGATGAATCAATTGCAAAATGTCATCAAAATATAAAGATTTATCCGACTAACAAAAAATAACTTATAATGAAACTGATGATATGCACATGTTTTAGGCATGTTGACGGTGCTGCATCTTGCATAGCTGTTTCTCTCAGCAATAACATATCTCTCAGTTTAAATAATAAGGCGTGTCCATTCTCTATCCATATCTATAAACTCTATTCATATTCGCCGACAAAAACAATTTACAAATCCATGCTAAACACGTCAAATTTGAATTTATAAATTCAAATATTCTTTTTGTAACTTTATATGCAAATATCTCTCGTACAGTTTTTAATTGTATTTATATAAACATCAAATAGTAGTTATGTAAACATCAAGTAAAGAAAGGAAGACAATCTGTGATCATATATCACTTCCGCATTCCTAGTTTGTTAGTATCATAAAGTAGCTAAAATTAGTACATAGTCCTATAAGTAAATGGCCTGGTCCCTTGATCAATGGTTTAAGATTCATCATTGAGTAATATATAGGGAAAACTTCAATTCTACCATAAATCTATACTATTAAAGAAGGATTCTAGTGATTTTTTTACCTAAAAATATATTTTTCTTTACTAAGACCATCTCCAATGGAGTATCTATGAGGCTTCTACGTATTGGTTCTAAATAATTATATGCTGAAAACTAAATAAAAAGAAGAAAATTAGATAGATATGGTTCTAAAAATAGAAGTTTGGAACTACTTCTAAATAATAGGTGTCACTTTCTCATAGGGTAGTATTTTAAAGGAAAAAAAGTTAAACCTAATTGTTCTTGTAGAACTTTTAATTGGTTCCACCATTGGAAAAATTAAAACGAAATAAGTATTTCAAATTTTTAATTGGATTATTTTTAATTAAAAAATTGATTTAGAACTCTAACCCCATATCTATTGTTGGAGATGGTCTAACATTGCATGTTGCATTAAGGAAAATCAAGTAATATTAATAACACATCTGTACTAGGTCATTTTTTTCTGGATCCAGCCCACTATCCACATCATATCTCTCTTGGGCCATTTGGGTCGATTAAGAAATCAAATCCAATTCTCACATTTTGTTTCCTTTGGACTATTGAGTCCAAGTTCAAATAATTTTTTTTCAACCATTCTTAATTATTTTTTATTTTTAATATAATTTAAACATTCATAAAAAATGAATTTTTTCATTGAAAAGTATAAATTTTTATTAAAGTATTTAATTTTTTTAATAAAAATATTAACCACATAATAAAATTAATTTATCAGAGTTATACCAACTTAATTCATCAATAAGATAAAATTTAATTTTTTAAACATAAATAATCATTTAAAATGAAACACAATAAAGAAAAATAAAAAGTTTAAGTCTTTTATAAATTAAAAGACAAATATATGAAAATATGACATTTACTAAATATTTTTCAATTGAAAAAAAAGTAAAATAAATCCACAAAGCGGAGATCAAAATCTAGTTCAATTAAACAAGTAACAGACTTTACACTAATAAGGTTTAACTTCATATACACTATCATTTCATAATTTCTAGAAATATAATCATACAAACACGTATCTACACAAACATACAAACCACTTTTATTTGATTCAGATAAAAATCCTAAGAGCAATGTCCTTATTCAAGACCACATTGGGCATCACACAATGTTCCGGGAATTGCATCAACACTAGTATCTGAGAAAGGAAAAGCTTAAACCAAGTAACGTTTCATCCAAGTATTGAAGCGAGACCAAGCAAGCTCCACCGCAGCTTCGTCATCATCAGAATCTCCCAAACTCTTCCTTCTGCTCACTCCTTCAGGGCTCCTGTTCAAGAAAGCGTGCCCGTTCCCCGGGTAAATGTGAACCTCGTGTGCTACTCCCGATGCTTTCAGCTTCTCTTCAAGATTCTTTGCTGCCTGCAAAGGTTGTAATAATCATTAGGATCATACATGATGGAACCTTAGGTAGATTTTTTTTTTTGAGATGTGATGTAATGGTAAATATATATACCGTGATATCAGAGAAACCAACAATATGGTCAAGCTCACCAAAATGAGCCTGAATAGGAGCCTTGGCATGTGCTGGATCTGCAAGCTCAGAGGAAGGCGTTCCATAGAATCCAACAACAGCATCAACCTCTGGAATCAAAACAGAGCTAGCTATAGCTAGTGCACCTCCCATGCACATTCCAGTCACACCAACCTGTCACCACATTTAGAATCTTATAATCTTTTGATATAATTCAAGAATTGTAACGCATATTCGTCACCCTTTTGGAGCCATTAGATTTAAGCCAGTTAACAGAAGCAGATATATCTTTGACAGCACCTGGCCAGTCAAGGCCATCCATTAAATGCTTTGCCTCTGCAGCAACAAGACCAACCTTTCCTCTATACAAGCTACACCGAGAAAAAAGATGTTTTTAGACAATACAAGTGAACCATATTTTTTGATAAGCCATTGCAAGAGAGAGAGACACTAACTCAGGTATAAGGGCTTTGAAACCAGGGTCAAGCTGTGAGATTTTAATAGCGTGATTCTTGATCTCAACTTCAATACCCCACCATTCTTGAATCACAACTATCCCGGGCGCATCATCTTTACCAACCACATACGCATCAAACGTCTAAACCAATAGATCACAAAGAAATGATTAGTGAACATTTTGTATAAGTTTTGTTGAGGAAAGAAGAAGTATATACAGACAACTAGCCATGCTCAAACCTTGTGTTCATGAGAAATACAAACGAAACACCACACAAGGCGCAAAAACGTAGAGTAAGAACTCATGCAGAGACAGAGAGAAGGAGAAGCTTACAGTGTCATCTCTTTGGATTTGTATTTTCTTGAAAGCAGAATCGGCCATTGATCGGACTGATAAGCGAGGAAACGAAGGAACCGAGGATCTAGAGAGCGAAGAAGAAGAAGAAGACTTGCCGAGTGAAGAAGATAAGAATGTGGAAGATGAAGATGACACGAGTGTTCCTAACATTTGTCAAACTCCTGTAATAAACTCTTTTTTCTTTTTTGCAGTGAAATGGTGTTTTTAGAGTTAGCCCAAACGAGACTAAAACGGTGTCGTTACCATTACTATGAATATGGGCCTAGTATACAAACTATGTTTTCCTTGAGGTCCATTTAATCAAGATGTTATTTGGTAGCCTGTGTGTGACATTTGGAGTGTCCAATTTTTGGATTGTATGTAACAACCTATCCTTGTCCATTGGGTTTTATTAATAGAAAAATGCCATTAAAACTTGAACTTTCAAATTAAAACTAATAAAATATTTAATTCATGTTTAAGTCAAAAAAGTCTTCAATTTTTAAATATTAGCCGTTTCAACTCTAATAGTTTATTGATTTGACCAGTTAAAAAACAATAGTTAACTGTTAAATTTAATTAAAAATAGACGTATTTTAACTCTTTAAACGAAGTTGTTTCAAAACTAATTAAATATTTGATTAAACAATGTTGGTTTGCTTTTAAAAACAATTAAAACATTTTTTTGCTAGCGAGAATCCCAAATTGACTTCATCTTCCTCATTTTTGAATGAAGAAGATAAAGTCGATTTGAGACTCTGATTTTATGAAAAAGATGTTTTAATTGTTTAAAGAACAAAACTATGTCGTTTAATTATTTTTTTAAAAAACAATATCGTTTAGAAAATAAATAGTCATCTATTTATATAATCGAGTTTAACAGTTGGCTATTTGGATTTTTAGAATGGTTTAGTCAAGAAAATATAAGAATCAAAACGGCCAATATTTGAAAATTGGAGATTTGTTTAGCTCAAACATGAGTTGAAAGTTTTATTAGCTATAGTTTGAAAATTCAAAAGTTTAATGGTTGTTTTCTCATTTTATTAATCAAACCATGAACATAACTGTAAACTAGAATTTCTAATTAACATAACATAGATTTTGTTACACTTGTTAGTAGATAGGATAAGCTACTCCAAATTAAGTATTTTCTTGGTCAAAATGCGTATTAATTAAAGTTTCGTCATAAAAAAAAAGAAACCAAAAAGTGATTCAAGTATTCAATAAAAACAAAGTAATTCATATCTTAGCAAGTTGACAAAATTCATATTCTGGCAAAATTTATTTCCATATAATCACTTTCTTTGGATGTATTATTATTATTAACCTTTTGCATTTATTATTTAGTTTTATATTTTATTATTTAACCAGAAAAGTTCATTGAACGTTATTTTTGCAAAATATATAATCACTTTGAAACCATGCATATTGCTTTGTCTCCTATATAAATTCTTACACTCATCTCTGAGCTGAATTAAAACATAAAAAAGTCGACCAAGAGAACATAGTTAACGTCGGACAATGGCAAATCTACCAGATTCTCTGTACGAGGATTACAGTAGTTACAAGTTGACTTGGTCCCCTGCTTCTGCCTTTGCTCCAACCACCACTATCCTACCTTTTCCGGACATGAACACAATTATCCAGTGGATCAAAGATCTTCATAATGAAATTCCATTTATCTCTGATTTCGCGCTCCAAAACCTCGTCACTGTAAGTGCCAAAAAGATATACTCTTCCACCTCTTACTCTCTATTGTGTTTAGATGATTTTAGTTTATAAGTCTATATGTTTGTTCTTGCGTTGATTGATTGAGCATGCTTTCAATTTTTGATTTGATGGACTGATTAGTGTTACACAAAGGACTCTTTTTCTGATCGGGGGAAATTTTCTTTTTGACGAAAAAATTAGGAACATTTTTCGATTTATACGTGTCATCTTTGCGTAGGAACCATGTTAATCTATTCTATATCGTTCCAATTTTATGGGATGTCTCCGAAGGGACAAGATTGGGGAAGATCTTGCGATCTCTTTTGTTTCTTGCTACATAGATTAACAAATTTATCTTTAGATTATGCATTTTTTTGTTTGGGATATTATGTTACGATCGCGATCGCAATCTCAACCTCTCATTTCACATCACCACGTGACGTTTTTGGTAATAATCTTAGATTTGGTGGATTAACACGTGTAATATTATTTATTGTGAGTTAAACTTGGGCCTCCTCATAAGAATGAGCCTATAAGAATATGATTAATGGACATTTTTCAATTTTAGATAAGATTGGAGAAGATCTTGCGATCTCTTTTGTTTCTTGCTACATAGATTAACCAATTTATCTTTAGATTATGCCTTTTTTTGTTTGTGATATTATGTTACGATCGCAATCTCAGCCTCTCATTTCATATCAACACGTGACGTTTTAGGTAATCATCTTAGATTTGGTGGATTAACACGTGTAATATTATTTATTGTGAGTTAAACTTGGGCCTCCTCATAAGAATGAGCCTATAAGAATATGATTAATGGACATTTTTCAATTTTACGTGTCATCTTTGCATAGGAGCCATACTAATCTATTCTATATCGTTTCAATTTTATGGGATGTCCCCGAAGGGACAAGATTGGGAAAGATCTTGCCATCTCTTTTGTTTCTTGCTATATAAATTAACCAATTTATCTTTAGATTATGCCTTTTTTGTTTGTGATATTATGTTACCATCGCAATCTCAATCTCTCATTTCACATCAACACGTGACATTTTTGGTAGCCATCTTAGATTTGGTGGATTAACACGTTTAATATTATTTATTCTGAATCAAACTTGGGCCTCCTCGTAAGAATGAACCTATAAGAACATGATTAATGGGGAGGGCTTAGTGGGTTGCTTAGGGAGGGAGTCTATAGAAAAGATAAAAACCGTGTGCAAATTAAAAGGGCCAAAATAAGCACTGCCTTTTGGTGGATGCTTACACTGTTCACGGGTTCTCACGGATATGTGACGACCTGTGATTGGTTCGTTTTAAAAAAAAAAAATTCAAAAAAAAAAAATAATAAATTTAAACACCCCAAAAGGGGTGCTATGGTTAATCTGCTCTAAGGATTTATTGGAATTTTGATTGCTGAATTGGCTTTCTTGATAATTTTTCTTTAGGTTTAGGAGACTTGTATATCAAGTTCCTGTTCCTCTTTTCTTGTATCCATTTGATTATTATCAGCAAGACGTCATTGGATTGATTTTCAATTTTTATATGTACTCATATACTACCACTGTCTCTATCTTTTCGCCCATGGCAGCATAGGAACACATATGAGATCTTGCCGCTGCTGTTATGGAAATCTCCAAGTACAGTGACCATGATGTTGCAGGTTCAGTAACGAGTACTTTGGTTGATGTCTCGACTAATACTGATATGTTTGCAAGATCATGCTTTCTTTGATACTTTGAACTTCGTTCAATCTCTGCAGGAGATTGTGAAAATCTACCCACACATCCTACGTCCAGTACACTCTCAGGATGGGACGCCACCTCGAGCGTACAACATTTTGCTTTTGTTCCAGGTTTTGTTTGGCCTCACACTTTTCTTCTTTCTTCGATAATATAGCTTATGCCGTGATTGGCTATGTAATGTTATAATCTTTTTTGGCCTATTATATAGTGCATAGCTGATCACCCGGTGACAAGAGGCTACTTTCTTAAAGGTATATTCTTTCTCCTTCATTGCAACATACCATTTTCTCTTTCCATTTGCGACGGTTGTAAAAGTAATAGATGAGAATTGTCCAAAAAAGAGAATGAATAGATGAGACAAAATGAATGATTACTAGTATAGCCGTTTCATTTTTTTTTTCAACCGTTGAACATCATGAAAATTATAAAAAAATCAAGCATTCATGAAAATTGCATTCTATAAAAATCCATTCCAGTTGAACATGACATCATTTTGTATCACGTTACATCGTCTCTGAAATTTAATATCCTTTGTTTGTTATTGTAGCTGAGATGCCACACTACTTATTTCCTTTGGTGAACATTGATCTCACCGATAAGCCGCTCGAATGCCTAAGGCTTGGTGCATTGGGTGTCCTTGCTCATATGTTGAAGGCGGTACCATACACATTCTATAGCATCCTTGTTTACAATATTATTTATTTATCACAAAAAGATCTTAGATTACTTTTGAACAACTCACTTCTCTTACAGCCTATTGACGGAGCTGCTGTTAGTTTCCTTATGGACAATGGTGCTTTAAATTACTGCAACAAAGCTATTGATATTGGCTCTTTAGAGTCAAAGACAGTAAGTACAGTATAACATTTTTAAATTAATATTTTATAAATTAATATATACTAAATTTTTTTCTAAAATAAAATAAATTTAGTTTCAAATTGATCTTTTAATATCGATAAATTATTGATCTCTATAAATTAATAAACAATTATAATTATTAATTTATAAAGGTTTCACTATACTTTTCTTAGCCATTTATACTGATTTTTAGACTGTAAATTAAAGAAAAAATAAAGTGTTTCTAACTAACATTTCTTCTAGGTTGCTGTATTCATATTGAACAAGATTCTGTCAACTGATGAGGGGCTACAGTACTGCTGCCTCTTGGCTGATCGTTTTTTCGTCATAGACAGTCTCCTGAAAAAGGTGCTTATGTATCTTTCTTCCATGACCAACCCTTGTCCCAGCTTGTTCAATCTCGTTGCTGGTTGCTACGCCAAGCTCTCCCAGAAGTCCAGGTTTTGTGCTACCTACACCTTCTGATCTTCTCAAGTTCTTATGATCAAGATGCAAACAACAACTTTGTTTTTTTCTCGTATATGCATTAGAGCTCGTAAATGGTTATGGCGTGTCCCTCCTCTCATGCTGCTCAACGGGACATTTGCTAATTTACTTGCTGTAAGATTGAAACTCTTTGTTGAGCTTTCTCTGTATGGCTGTTGTTAATGCAGTAGTAGTCAAGATTGAGTGTGTTTTTGTCTGTTTTTTTTTTTACACAGGAGGACCCAGACGCTGCTAACTACCGTAAGCAGCTGATTCTGAACATGCGAAGCATGGTTATGAATTAGAAGAAATTAAACGCACAGTTTTACTACAGCGTCACGCTACAAGTAAAATAACTAAGAAGACAGAAAAATTATGTTGTTGTTTTGGTTTAAACTCTTTCTTCAGATTACTCTTTTTACTTATCTTTCAGTATTGTTCTTCTCTCTTTTGGGATACATTTGAACCTATTTTCTATTTTCCTCCCCCCTTTCAAGTATTTTTATATTTTGAGTTCTCTCTAGAGGGAGACATGATTTGCTTAATTTGCAATTTGATGGTTGATACTGCTCATATGATAATTACTATTTTAATTATATTCACCTGTATGAAACTGAAACCGAAAAAAAAAACAAAGTAGGAAAAAGATATTTAGATACAAAACTTTTTATGTTCTTTTTAGTTTTATATGCAGTTTGAGGAAGAGGAAAAAAAAGCCTTTTCTCGTGTTAAGTTCTGGTTATGAGTTCTTCATATCAAACAAAACAGTTATCCATGGTGTCTGGATTCAGATCTTGATAGTAAAATTTTTATGTCTGGATATTATGTGTGTTAAATTTTTTATGTCTGTATATTATGCGTGTTTTAAAATATTAAAATGTAATGTAATGTAATGAGTGAATATTATATTTAAAAAAACACGTTATTGCAATTCAACAGGTAATTTAGACAACACCGACAAAACTCGAGTGCGATATAGTCAATAAGAGTCTCTCGGATCCAGTTCTTTCTCCACTACAAGAACTGAATCTCCCCCAGCAAAACCCATCTCTATATTTAAAAGAGATTTTTGTAAGAAACACAGATCTAACTCGTATGGCGAAGCACACGGCGGCGTTGAAAGCAGGACTGACTTTACTAGCGCTGAGCATGATTGGTTACATACTTGGTCCACCTCTCTACTGGCACCTCACGGAGGCACTGGTCGCTTCCGCGTCTTCTTGCTCCCATTGCGGCGCCTGTGACTGCTCTTCCGTGCCTCTTCTCACCATCCCCAAAGGTTTAAAAAAAAAAAGACCACACTCAAGTTTTGTTCTTTTGTGTTGCCATTGATTGGATCTTGCTAGATCTGCTGTAAAGTTTTCTCATTTACTAGATCGGTAGTACTTAGATCACATTGCTTCAGCTTTGGTTAGGGATATGAAGATAGACTACAATGGTATACTATTGTTTTGTTTGTTTAGATCTAAAAGTATTTGTGTCTTTTTGAGATTTTCAGAAGTGTTGTTTCTCTGATTGTTTGGTTTGATGAGTAATCAGTGATCAGTTTATGATCTGTAAGGCTTTAGTTTGGGTCATAGTGATTTAAAGTCTTTGAGTTCGGATTTGTTGTGGTGTGGTTTGAACATCTGGTTTACTTGTTGTGACTTTGTTACTATTTACAGAGTTCTTAGTTTATCATGTCTACTTTTCATTGAATCAGAAACAAACGATTTAATTCTTATTACCTTTTTTATTTGTTTCTGCAGGACTCAGCAATGGATCTTTTGGAGGTTAGTCTCTTATGTACTCATCATTATAATGATTGTATATTTATATAGGCTTCTAGTAAACGAACTTGTTAAGAGTATCTTTGTCTTTTGACGTGCAGATTGTGCAAAGCATGACCCAGAGGTAAACGAAGACACAGAGAAGAACTATGCTGAGCTCTTAACGGAGGAACTGAAGCAACGCGAAGCAGCATCGATGGAGAAACACAAAAGAGTAGACACAGGTCTGCTAGAGGCCAAGAAGGTAACATCCTCTTACCAAAAGGAGGCGGATAAGTGCAACTCCGGTATGGAGACTTGTGAGGAAGCGAGAGAGAAGTCGGAAAAAGCACTCGTGGAACAGAAGAAGCTGACTTCTATGTGGGAGCTCAGAGCTCGTCAAAAAGGATGGAAAGAAGGAGCCACCAAGTCTGTTAAATCCAAAAGCAGTGTTCAGGCTTCTTAGAGACACACCTTAAGTTATTTTTGTTATCACACGAAAGAGAATTACTGGTTCATGTATCTGTGATTCTGATTTGTAATATTGTCTTGTAGTTTTCTGATGGAGAAAGATCAATCAGATTGAATGAAATATTGTACCAAAACAACAATGTATTAATGGATTTTGAACAAACTTATTACAAATCAAGTCAGTACATTGAACTACAACATAAAATTTAGTAGGAGTAGCGGCATAAATGATAAAACACTTCTTCTTGGTCTCGCTTCACTTTTCTTTCAGGCAAGGTTTATTGTTAGATCCTCCAAGTCTTGAGAGCCAACGAGTCTGAGATTGTGCTCGTTCGCCAAGTGCAGCAAGCAGATGAAACATAGATGTGGTGAGATGTCTTTGGTTGTCCCAGCCGCTTTGCAGTCATCTGGAAAGCTAGCCAATAGCTCTTTGAAAGATCTACTTTCAGGTGGTTCTTGTTGGTCTTCCTCATCCTGCCACAAAACCAGATTCTGTCAATTTCATCACAATCATGGGGAGGAAAAAGACAATGAAGAAGATGGTATCGCCAAGCTTGTTGAATCAGCTAGAGCACGGAACTATAAGATAAAGGTGCATTAAACAGGAAATGTATGCGGAAGGCTAGATTGTATCTTGACATAACATGGCAAGTCACGAATATTTTTTGATGGAGATCATCTTATCTGAGTAATTTCAGGATAACAGAAACAGAAACATGAACTATGTTTATTTTAGTTAACCTGAACTGGTGGTTGAGGAGATTCCTGAAGACACTCCCATAGAGTTTCCTTCAGCACTTGCACATCAACTTGTTTTGAAGCTTTATCATATTGGACCTCGATCTTGTTGACCTAGAGCATGAATTTTGCAGGAAAATTACAACAAATGTTTAATTGCTACCCACAGTCATCTATCTGTAACACAATTACCATATGCACATCAATATCATACCTGGCGAGGCTGAGAGATTAATGAATTGGTAGTATCCTCTGCATCACTTTGATCATTTCCATTGTCAAACGGGCCATCATCATAGACATTATCATTTTCCCAAGATTCCGCATGTTCATGGTCATCATACTGCTGCCTTGTTTCACCTGGAATATGCACATAACAAAACAAGTAGAACCTAAGTTTCTTCTCAGAATTCAAAAACAATTTTCGCTAAAATTTTTTTAAAACCATTTTCTCTGTAAAGGCAATTTTATATCAGTAAAGACAGCAAAGACGCTGGTATCTGCCCTCATAAACCGCTACACGAGACCATCAGTGATGTTAATCTAAAAGACTGGAATTCTTACCTGAGCGTTTTCTTCTCCTCTTCCCGATGCACTGTTACCGTTCAGAATAGTTAACATTTGTCGATATGACACAATAGATAAAGAAATGATAAATAAAACGAGAAAATAGAAGTGATTGGGTGAGTGTTTAGCAAGCCATACCATCACATTCGGTAGTAAAAATAGCTTTACTAGATTCTCAGGTTGATAATGGCAATCTTCTGGAAGCTTTGTTTGACAAGGCGCCCTATTTGCTGGCAAAAGTAAAGACTTTGGGTTTTTTGGAGGGGCAAAGATATCAGGAACTTCTTCCTCCAGAGCTTTTGTAAAATCTAGTTCAGGCTCTGCTTGCTTCTTTTTCCTGGTTTTCTTCGCTGGTGGAGAAGATCCATTTTCGGGAGCAGGGGGAACATCTGGGCCTGATAAAGAATCCAGAGAATGCAAACCCTCAGAAAAACAATATATCTAAGAGGGCTTATCGTATAGCTGAAACTGGAGATCTATGCGCAGCGCATACCTTTTGTTTTCCGATACTTCCAGTGATCAGGACCGGCCCAAGAATTTTGTTTAGATGAAATTCCCAACGACAAGAAGAGATAGTCGTCAACATTCTCAAATCTTTCATCTGAATCAAGGTCTTGCAGTGAGTCTGGTTCAACTTCCTGAAATGTGAAAACGTTAGCATCAGTTTTCTGAAGAAAAGAAAACGAGTTAAAATAAGAAGAGTGATGGTAGGAACCTCAGGGAAATTTGAGTATGCTGGTTCTGCATCATTGTGGCCAAAGTTCTCCTCAGCAGCACCAGACTGACCCTCATAGTTAAAAGAATCTCCAAAGTTATCGTATCCATCATCATCATCGGCATAGCTAGCTTCATTACCATGTGATATATCAAATGACTCGGTCGTCTTCTGACCACAAGAAAACGTATCAGATGGTCTTTGATTTTCTTCATCAAATTGATTGATTATTGCCCGAAGAGATGGTACAATATCATCCTTTTGCCGCATGTTAAGCACCATTTTCTCCAGACATTCTACAAATTTAACAACGGCATTAGAGAATGGTTGATGCAACAAAACATATACAATGGTACAGCGAGGGATATCAGCCGACAAAGCCAAACCTTTAGCAAAGGACAGATCAATTGTTTCTGATTTATCATGCTGATTTGCAGAAGAAACAAGCTTTCCAGGGATTTCTTGTGAATCAAACAGAACTTGACACCCTCCATAGACTCCTAGATTGTTTAGCAAGAGACCCTTTGCTCCACCTTCATCAAACTGTGCTGAAGTCTGATGATAAAGGGGATCCACAGCGAATGCCACTGTAAGACATACAAAATCTTATCAGACGGAATTTACTTGTCATAAAGAACAAAGGGAGTTAAGTTAAGTAACTAAATTACCGTCAAACTTCTTCACGTTAAGGGCATCAAATGATGGTTCCAGTGTTGATAAAGGCGATATCTGCAAGTTGAAACTCATCAGTATGTAGTGTCATCAACCATATCCAGAATTAAGAAATCTGTATGAACTACCTTTTTCTCTGCCTGTTTCTTTTGGTTAGTTGCAGTTACTACAGAACCAGCAGCATCTTCGTTGTCTAGTTTCATAAAGAAATATCAGAAAACATAAGATTAAAAGTTTACTTGCAGTACCTTCTATAGAAACTAGAAGCTAAAGAAAATAATTAATGCATTGCATAGCCAATAATTGTAGTTCTTCAAAAAAACCTTTTGTAATCGATCTTCACTTCTTCAGTGATTTTTAAATTCGCATGTTAGATGTCAAACAATAAAGTAACATATCTATCTGCATACCTCATTAATTACAAGACTAGTTTGGCTAACCATATAAACACACATCTCCAAAAACTGACAAAGCTATATGTTTTTTCTAGGCAGATTCAACCAAGTGGTAAAGAGAGGACAGTTTAGTGTGCGTAAGCTATGGAACTAACCTCCAGTGTCATCGTGGCCAGCTCGAGTAATACCACCCAAGACCTTGTATGCCTCTGAATGAACAGAGTCTACCCTCATTGAGTAAATCTTAACTCCAGCTTCAAGAGTGCAACTTGCCTGCCATCCACAAACACAAACATTGTTTCTTTGTGGGTTTTCTTAAGAGTCTTAAGAGCAATTATAAAAAATAAGATTGAAACCAAAATCTTCACCTTTTGAAAATTGGTTTCAGCATTATTCTCATCTTCAACTTTAATAATCTCACAAAGATGATCGATCAAATTCAACTCCCACGTATTCTTCTGATTGATTTTCTGTTTCAACACAAACAAAACCCATATAAGATAACGAGAACACCTGTTAGCCACGAATTCGAGAAGTCGGATACTTACGTTTTCACTGGCTAATTTGATACAATTCTGAAACAACTCGAGAATCTGCTGCTTGTCAAAGCACGGATCTGCTTCCTTCTCGATCTGGGGCCCACGCCCGAAAACGATAGATCTACGACGGCTAGCGGCGACTCTGGCGGCGCGGGCTTGTTCACGTTCGAGCCTGTCATTGTTGGATCCCAAGAAGAAGGGACTTGTGGGAGCCTGGATCCGATTCGTCGCCGTAGTAGTTGGCCTTTGCTTAGGGTTTGGAGTTAAGGATTCCTCCATGGTTGAAGTTACCGGCAAAAGATAAGAACAAACTCTTCACCGGTTAGGTTCGACGGAGGAGCAATGCGTAGATGGAGAGAATTCAAGTGATTTGGGGATTTAGGGATTTGGATTTTCCCTCCGCTTTGGTGTTTTGAATTTCAGAGACACTCTTTTATGTGTGTATTACATATTTGCCCTCATCATCTATCGTCTGTACCTGACCATTCGCTGTATTTTTTTTTAAATCGTTTTACGTCATCAGGAGCCAAATTGTCGTCAGAAAACAAATTTCAAATATACTCGAGATCCGGTTCTTTTTGATTGATTGATTCGGTTTAAGTATGGTTATGAGTAAACCAATTTTTTTTTAAATGCTTTCGACGCAAAAACAAATGAAAATTCTTTTACTTTTTTTTGAGCAAAAACAAATGACAATTCATAACAGAGCACTAAAATATAACAAGATTGTTATTACATCTGCAGAATTCAGATTCAAAAATCCATGTCAAAACAGATTTTTGATATTTTTAGTACACACACTTGAGATAAACTGTGATAAAAGATTACTGTGTTCAAACGGTTTAAAGTTTTGATTCTACCAATCCTAGTTTCACTTTCACATGTAACCTCCAGATGGTGGTGGTGGAGGTGGTGGGTAGGGAGCACTACCGTTAGCCATCGGAGGTGGTGGAGGTGGCATTGAACCAGATGGAGGTGGTGGCGGTTGAGCTTGAGGCGGTGGTGGTGGTGGAGGCAGAAGACCATTTGATTCAATTGTGGACTGAGGCTTGAATGGTTCTGGTTTGTTGGGTTTGAAGTACACCTGCAACTGTTTATCACAAGTTTCTTTGTCATTTATTTCCATTACTCAAAAAACAAAAACGTATCCAAGCTTATGGGGTTATTATGATAAGAAGCACTTACAGTAAACATCTTCGAGTCTGGATCCCAGTGAGAGAAAAACTTTGGGGTTGATTTGTCTATCTCTGTGCTAGGAACCTGAAACCAATCCAAGACATGACATATCAATATCCATTAATCATAATGAATGTAAATCTATCATCAAGCAGTTTTAGAATTCGAGAATGAAGCAACTTAAGAAAAAGAAGAATACCTTGAAGGCTATGGTTTCATATGGTTCAGCAGCAAAAAGAAGGTACTGATACTTCTTGTCATAAGGTTGAACTTTCTGCTCACAAAACAAAAAGGGAGAAAGTTAGTAATCAATATGGGAACGCAACAAAAAGGGAGAAAGTTATTAATCAATATGGGAACGCTTGTGAAGGGTTATTAGACACATAAACAAGGACTTGTAACACCTACCTGCTCGAATGAAGACATGACACGATGTTTGGGCTTTATGTTGTCCTCTATTTCAGGATACTCAATCTGCAAAACAAAGTTGAAAAGAAAAACGAAAACATTAAGAATCCACTTTACACAAGTCTCTGAAGATTGATACAATAAGAAGTTCAACAAAAACAATGTATATGCTTACCTGGAACAAGAGAGATCTCTGCTTCAACTCGGGGTCATACTGCTTTGTAACTCTGTACCCTGGTCTACCAATTTTAACTGCAAGAAAAAAACACAAGATGAAGAAGTAATCAACCAAACATTTAAAGCTGATAACTAAGCAACGGAGAAATCAACAACCAGACCTTTAAAGCTGACATTAACTAAACTTACGCACCAAAAAAACTATAACCATATCAAAGATAAACACTCCTGCAACTATATAAGCCCCAAATAAGAGAAATATAACTTTTTATCCAACATATAGATCAACATAAGCAAGTTGTTACAAAACCTAAGTACCAAATAACTGTAACCATAGTTAAGACAAATATAACTTCCAAAGCAATCACAAGTTGTTACCTGTTCTGCGAACAGAGACTGTACGCTTATGTGGCTGAGGCTGAGTAGGAGCTTCCTGGGCCTCACGAGCAGCTCTCTTAGCCAAGTTGGTCTGATGCCTCTTCCCTTGAGTATGCGCCAAGTAGTTCCCTTCGTTGTTATGCAGCGTTAAACATAGTTTGCACTCATAGCTTCACATCACCAAACAAACCAAAACAATGTTAAATCCCTAAAATCACACAAACAAATTTAAAAAAACCCTAATTGAAGATTTTTTCAATCCAAACATTAAAAATAGCACAATCATCCTATCAACAGCAGAATCTACTATTAGAGTCTATATAGAAAACACACAACATACCTTCCGAGATGATTTCGCATGAAATAGGGATCCTTCGCAATGTCTATGGTCTCGAGAGCGAGACGACGGAGACGCTCACGGCGATCTATGGCCTCGTTTTGGGCCGAGGCGGCGCCTCCGCCTCCTGGCTTCGATCCCCATTCTCTGTCCATAGCTTAGGAATCGATACTCTCTATCGCTCTGAGGAACTGTCTTTCGATTTGCTGCTGAAGAGTTACTCGGAAATTTTGAGAAGGGCTGAGATTTGGTTATACGAAGATGAAGGTTTGGCGGTTTGTTAGAGACTTGAGTGTGGGTTGGGTTTTGGACCGGTTTAAGGCCTACTATCTCGGCCCATAACTGCTTTTAGGATAAAAAATGAAAATATAAGGTATTTTAGAGCATGTGCATCCCAGAGGTGCTTAGTTTTTTTCTTTTTTTTTCGGACTGGAAAAAAAAAAATTATAATAAGGAACAATTGCGGGTCGCCACGTGTTGTGGAGCCCACAGGATAGACCAAGAATCAGCCAGAAACGTTTATAAGGGAATCACAAGCGCTGGTTTTTTGCTTTTTAGTGGACCCCCTCCTCTAAAACTCTCCCTAAGCGCCAGGGATGCACATGCTCTTATGTTCTTCAATTTTATTTCTTGAACAAAATTTCGTTGTGTAAATCAATTAAGAGCAAATAAAAATTATTAGACGCAAAATATTTGCTTAGGAGTTCTCCATTTGTAGGTTTCTTAAGGAGTATAAAATTGTTTAATTATAGAATAGAATAATATAATATTGTAGAACTTTTTTTAGTGATGAGCAGGCTCTTAGAGAATTCCTAATGAAGAATTCTTAACTACTAATATCTCAAAAATAAAACAAGTTAATAAGCATTTCAAATGTTGAGATAAGCCATTTAATATAATTTCTAAAGATCCCATTGGAATACTTGAACAAGTATCTCATCATTTGATTTTCTCAATTCATTTAATTTAGTTTTGTGAGAAACTATGAATTGAAAACTTTCCATTGGAACTAGTCTCTATAGGTATTATTTGGGCCAGCTATATATATGGTTTGTGGCTCTGTCTAATCATGGTGGGAGGCTGGGAGCAGAATAATGAGATTTAGGCTGCTTCCACTCCATAAAAAAGGGCAAAACGTTTGTCTAGTTACCTCTATCTCTCATTTCAATTATTCTTTTTCTCCTCATCCTCTAGCTTTGTGTTATTTTTTTGGTCGATCTGGATCGTCATGTCTCATTTTTAGCTTTAGTTTTCACTTATATTTGGGTTCAAAGCCTAATGAGTAAACTGGTGAATATTACCACTAATTTTCGAAGATTTATGTTATAAAACTTTTGTAAATGACAAGATTCTATGAAGTGGACCATCCATGTCCGCACATGAATAAATAATGCAACAAATACAACACCATATGCAAGTTTGTGCATTCTCATAGTCGTTGCAACCATCTCTCTTCAAAAAGGTTTATCTTCCTTCACTTTCCTTATGAGAACACACAAAATATACTAAACAAAACAAAATGGCTCGATTCCGACGTATATGTATCTTTGCTCTTCTCTTTACTCTCGTTTTTGTTTTCTCTAAAGCCCCAAGAACTCATGCTGCTGGACGAAGCTTTTCCTCCGGACCTTCTAGAAGAGACGCAGGGTTCTTCCACTCTTATGCCACACATGTAATCGGTCCCGGAGAATTCAATCCGGAGAAGAGAAAGATTCCTACGGGGTCAAACCCTTTGCATAACAAGCGATGAAAAAGGTTTATTGCTCCCTCTCCTTGTTTTTGAACTGGAGGTTGTGGAGGTTCTTGAGGTTTTGAATATTTATTTTAAGCTCAGATCGATGGGAATTGATCATATGATGTTGTGTATGTAGATATAAGTATAGTTTGTGTGTAATTGTATGCTCGCAAAAATATGATTCCTTATATGTTTGATAACATAGTAAGATGTTTTTTTTTGTTTAATCTCATATACTATACTATCATTAGCATGGATATGTTTGATATCAAGTGCAGCAATTTGATGTGATTGCAAGATGATTTTTCTTTTGTTTCTTCTTTTTGTCGGCGGGAAGGTGATTTTCTTTTACTACCTAATATTATATTTTACGATTTAAAGACTATAAAACTCATTTTTGAGGATAACAAAACTTCAATGGAGGATGTAAGAGTTAGAAATTAATCTCGTCTCTGCAGTCACGCGTTCATAACAAGAAATTTTCAATAATTAGTCGATCATTAGTATACAAACATAGAAAGGGTGGTAAAATGTAGTATTTGATGTTGATGCTTAATTATTATGGAAGCAAAAGAAAAAAACAAGATAATAATCATTTTATTGGGATGTTGAAAATAATTATGGTTTAATGATTCGTTTCGTGGTTGATGCTGAAATAGTTACGTTTTTTTTACTACTCTCAATCAAATTGTAGGAACTCGAGCGTTGTCTAAGATAATCTGGGGATACATTTCTAGCTTATCTTGTGTTTTTAACTTTGTAGTTATAACCTAGAGCTACAGTTTTCTCTTATAGATAAAGCATGAGAAATATGAGAAGATGACAATAAATTTATTTTTAGTGTTCCGCGCATGCGCATTTGTTTATGGTGCAATAAGAAAAATCAACTTTAATCAACCAAATTATTATGCAGTTGAAAAACGGAAAAAGGGTATAGTTGTTTTCTTGATATCAATTATAGCACAAGACATTCTAATCCAAAAAGGCTAAGTCAATGTACGAATATTACAAACAAAAAGTATATATTGTAATGTTACTTTCATATAAGTGAGGACATTTCAAGGATCAATAATCTGTGAAAGAGGTGTTGTTGTTATAAGAAAAACATTAAACGGACCAACTTTTGTTAAAAAAAAATATATTTAATTTGATAAAACTTAAACTAATATGAAAAATAGAGCAACATAAGATTCGAGAGTGTTCAGAAATATATAGAAAGTACAAAACAATATAAATTTTAGAATTTTGTGTTATCTGTGGTTGATACTGAAAAATGTCTGCCTTCTCTAGTTAACCGTTATTATGCAAAAGCTTAAAGTCTCTCATGATTTTCAAATACTACAAAATCTAGATAAAGCAGTGAAATTTCTAGTTTTCTTTTGTGTCATGAAAACCAGTTTTTTTTTATCAATGAACTATTCCATCTCAATGCATATCGCATAAACACACCAAGCAATCAACTGTGTTTGTGATAAAAGTTGGAAACTTTTGTTTCAAATGTATCAGAAAATTACGCCAATAATTTCAGACAAAACATAGAATTGAGAAGGAATCCCTTCATCACGTAATGAACTTTTTAGTAGCTACGTTGATGTTTCCAAACTATTTGGATACAAGTTCAAAGACGAAATTAAAGAGAAACCTTGAGCTGGGTTCTAGAGGAAAGACACTTTGTGTTTGAACCAACACTGTCTTCGAGCTCTCCCAAAAATCACCATTAGCTCCCCAAAAATCAAGAATGGATTTTTGAAACCTGGATAAACTTGTGATCAGAGAATGTGATACGTTAGAAGGACCAAACTGATCAGATACTTTTGGCTGTCGTGACACTATTGACAAACCACATAACAACTGTTGACAGAACTACCCTTTTTCTTTTTTCCTAAAAATACAGAATTAAAAAAAAAAGGAAATTAGCTTGCTTGGGTTCTAAGCAACTACGTTATTTCCTTTTTTGCAGCTCACCACTAATCACTATATATATGATCCAGTAACACTCTCATTCTTTTCTTAATCTCTTCTTTTTATCAGTCATCAAACTAAACCCTAAGTCACCTGAGAATCTACAAACAAAGATAAGAAAAAAGATAGAATGATGAAGGATTTGATATGTGATGCTATCAAGAGTAGATGGTGAAGTTGTTCGAAGCTGCAAAGAAAGCTGCTGACGTGGCCAACGCTAAGGGTATTCTCTCGGGCAAAGCAGATGCGTCCCGCTGCGTTGAGGCTATCTCGTTACTCATGAAGGTCAACGTCACTCCAAAACCTAATGAGCCAAGGAGGATGTTGGAGAGGCTTCATGGACTTGCCAAGCACAAGGACCGTACGATTTGCAATGCTGCAACATCCCTTCTTCAACTTTGGAGGCAGAGGAACAGAGAACAAGAACGTAAAGTTGCGTCTGCCACTACAAAGGGAATGAAGTAAGTGAAGTGAAGTGAAGATCGTAGCTTGAACAAAAGAAAAAGTCTCTGGTGGATTCAGTAAGCTTGTAGTAAGTCATTGTATCAAAGAGTAGAGTGAGTAGTATGAAAGTGAGGAAGAGATGGAAACCATTTTGTAAGAAACTGATTCAACAGTCAATGAAATATAAGATTTATTTTGTTTCTTACTATATTTCCACAGTTCCATTACATGAGCACGTTGTTTGATTTGATAGTGAAGGGTTTAGATAGTGGTTTCAGCACCTGTGTAATCATAAAATAGTTTAAAGTAACACAGAACCTGATAGAATTATGTTGTTAGTAACTTAAGCTAAGGGCGTCTAATGCCTCTGAGCTTTGTTCTGGCCATAGTACATACACTCATTGCTACAAGTACATACACTCATTGCTACAAGTACATACACTCAAAGTAATACAATGTGTCACTATCTCTTTGATGGTGAATTGCTTCAATCATTGAAAATAAAAGCCTTGACCTGCGTTCTAGAGAGAGAGAGACATTTGTGATTCGTTAGCGAACCCACTGAACTGCTGGAATTGCAAAACTTTTTGACAAAACTGGGAGAATGTGCCATTTGTCAGGGAATCTGAAAAGTGAAAACAAAAACATATGGGTACCAAATTGGTAGAAAGGAAACTTCTGGCACACAATTAAAATAAAAGTAAATACTAGGGCCTTTTTCATAATTATACAAAGTCGTGGAACGGATATGGATAAGCCTCTGTCTGGGTCAGGGCAGGGGTTTAAGGTCTTTTTTTTGAAGCGACAAGTCTCACACTCACAGTCACGGATACAGTTCAATCTCCTCCTCTCCACTTTCTTCTCCGGTAAGAATTCAGAGATTTGTATTCGTTAGAATTTTCCTTAACGCTTTGAAATCGACATCCTTTTTTTTTCTTGGCTTCTTTGAGATGATTTGTCTTTAAAATACTGGTGAGAAATTTCAATTCTCCGATCGAATGGGCATAAAAAAAAAATCTTAGATCCTGGGTTAATTTTTACCTTGTGTTCTTGATTAGATGATAAAAGCCTTGTGCTTTTACAACGATTCACTTTTGTGTGTTATGGAACTTGTAACATGACAATGTTCATTATGTGCTATGAAAATCTCGTTATGGGTTTAATTTCAATGTCTCTTCTCTGTATTATGCGCAGATCCAAACTCGCTATCACAAGATTGTATATTTATATTAAAAGAAGAAGTTATGGCTAGTCTTGTAATGGCCACACCATTCCCAGGTTCTCTCACTCAACGCAAGAAAACAAACAACCTGTCCCTTCAGAGAGCCTTTAAGGTAACATCTATGCAGACACCGTTGGAGGAGCTGTACAATGTTAAAGTGGAACGGAAAGTGTCACAGAGACGGTTAGAGGAGCTAGGGGTTTCGAGATGGTCAGTTTGGAAGACTGGGAAGTGCAAACTGCCATGGGACTGGCAGGTGGATCAGTTGGTTTACATTGAAGAAGGAGAGGTTCGTGTTGTTCCCGAAGGTAGCAAGAGGTTTATGCAGTTTTTGGCTGGAGATCTTGTTAGGTATCCGAAATGGTTGGAGGCTGATCTTTTCTTCAATGGTCCTTACAGTGAACGTTATTGTTTCAAGGCCTATGGTGATGATTGATTCAAAAGGTAGAGTTGAGTTTAGAGTTAATAAAGTTTGCACTTGTGTTTGTGTGTTGTTGTAGTCTTTTTTTCTGGGGATAATAATATATCAAACAATTTTATCTTCTTCAGAATTTGTAATGCTTACCATAAGTAAACAGATTAGGATTTTTGGATAGAGTGATGAAGAAATCAAAAGGAAACTCTCAAAGTATATTTGTTATCAAGAGAATGTAGCACTGTAGTGGAAATAAACAACTTTTGAAAAATGACCAATAAGTAAAACAGAGCCGCAGGTTCAGAGATAGAGAGAGTTGAAAAATCAAAAGGAAACTCTCAAAGGAGCTCGCTTCCGTGAAGAGATTGTATGATTTTACTTGAATTAAAAAAGGACTTTATAATTAAGAAACAATAAGAGTTTTTGGAGATTAATTTAATCACAGTAGTAGTAAACTTATAACAAACCAAAAATAAGAGAATAATCTTAATAATTTTTTGAGGATTAATTAGCTTATAACAACCTGTGTCTGATCCAAATCTGATTTAGGAGTGTCTACGATTGGGTGAAGAAAAAGGAAATTGAGAGTTGCGTGGATCCTAAGCTACTAAATTTCCTTTTCTTAGTTACAGTCACTCTCTCTATATATATCAATCAATCAACTCTCTCTCTCACTCTATTTCTTATTTCGATCAAAGCACACTCAAAACCCTAACTTCTTCTCGTTACCTGAAACCTCTTTTCCATAATTCGATCACACAAATCATCTAAACTCAACAACAACAACGCAAGAGAGAAAGATGGTTGCGCAGGAGATATCTGATGATTTACAAGTTTTGTTTGCTTCAGCGATCGAAGCCTCTTATCTTACACGAGACCTAGGCGGCATCGAACGCTGTGTCGATTTGTTGAATAGGTTGAAGTCTAAGTCTCTCTCCGTCAACAACATTCAACGATTCTCTATGTCCATATTTAGGTTGGAGACTCTGAGAACTCACAAGAGCCCTAAGATCCGTGAAGTATCTCAATCCTTATTCAATTCGTGGTTGGTTTCTCTCTACGCACAAGGAAGAGACCAATCTCTCAAGCCGAAGAAGAACCTTGTTCCAACAAGGTGTTCGAAAGAAGAACATAGATCTATCTCAAGTCTTGAACCGAAGGAAGAGATTAAGAAAAAGACAGGCCTTGTGGAGTTGAAGACAGAGACGCAACGAGACAACAAAGACAAAGATGGTAAGGTTACAACCAAGACCTTGCTTCCTCCTCCGAAGAGAGTCGCTTCTTGCGCAAACCCTAATTCCGCGGCGAAAACAGAGGAGATGGTGGAGTTGTTCGAAGCAGCCAAGAAAGCTGCTGACGTGGCCAACGCTAAGGGTATTCTCTCGGGAAAAGCTGATGCGTCTCGCTGCGTTGAGGCTATCACATTGCTCACGAAGATGAACGTCACTCCAAAACCTAATGATCCAAGGAGGATGATGGAGAGGCTTCAGGGACTCACAAAGCACAAAGACCGTACTATTTGCAATGCTGCATCATCCCTTCTTCAACTTTGGAGGCAGAGGATCAAAGAAGGTGAAGCCAAAGCTGCGTCTACAATCGATATGATTCTTTCCAAACCTTGTGGAGCTCATCAGATACACGGTCAGAGCTTCACAAGAGAACCTACAAAGAAGAGGAAACTAGTGATGTGAAGATTGTTGTTTGAAAAACTTTATTCTTTTGTAAAAGTTTATGAAAAGATTTATCTGTAAGCAAATTGCTTCTATTGTCAATATATAAAATCTCACGAATTTATTCTTTTCCTTAGGTTTCCAAAGTAGTAACATGAGTACATTGTTTGGCATGGAAGTAACTCGTTAGATTGTTTACTGTTTTCAGCTCCTCTGTCTCAAACAAGAATTACGTTTTTTTTAGTAACTTGATACTATCAAATTACAAAAGAAAAAGGTTAGCGGATCAGTGTAGCAAGACACGTTCAAGAGTAATATGAGTGTGAGGTTGAGATGAATTCAATTTGTATTAAAGGTATGAGTGACATTTATAAATATGTTCGTGTATCAGACAGCAAGCCACCAAATTTGGAAATTGCATAGACACAATCACTGCAGCGGCCTGCTGCGAAAGAAAACAGAATTTTGATTACATCACAACGTGTTGTTCCTGAAGGTAGCAAGAGGTTTATGCAGTTTTTGGCTGGAGAGCTTGTTAGGTACCCTAAATGGTTGGAGGCTGATCTTTTCTTCAATGCTCCTTACCGTGAACGTTATGGTTTCAAGGCCTGTGGACCTGTGGTGATGATTGATTGATTCATAAGTAGAGTTGAGTTTAAAGCCAATAAAGTTTGTACTTGTGTGTGTTGTTATTGTTGTAGCCTGATGGATCTTTTTTGGGATGATAATATAACAAAACATTTTATCTTCTTCTTCCGAAGTTTGTGTAAACAGAGCAGAAGTTTGTGTAGCATTTTAATTCAACTTTTGAAAAATGACCCAATAAGTAAAACAGAGCAGCTACTTAGACATCTTTGATAGAGAGTGATGAAGAACCAAAAGGAAGCTCGCAAAGGAGGTTCTTTAATTCCATGAAGATGTTTGTATTATCCTACTTGAATTATGGAAATTATTATTCAGTCTCAGTAACCTTAACAAACAAATAAAAAAAAGAGAATAATCTTATGAATTGACGTGGAATTATTTGGATTTTAATAACAACCCGTATCTGATCCAAATATGATTTCGAAGTTATTTAAGACGAAACTACCCTTTTGGTTGAAGAAAAAGGAAATTGAGACAAATTGCTTGGATCCTAAGCTACTAAATTTCCTTTTCTTATAGGTACTGCGTACAAAAGCCACTCTACTCTCTCTATATATATTTCAACTCTCTCTCTCACACTTAATCTATTTGCTTATTACGATCACACTGAAAACCCTAAGCTCTTCTCGCTACCTGAAACCCTTTTTTCCTGACCGGATCACACACACATTATCTGAAACCAACAACGCAAGAAAGAAAGATGACTGCGCAGAAGATCCCCGATGATTTACAAGCTTTGTTTACCTCAGCGATCGAAGCTTCTTATCGTACACGAGACCTAGACGGCATCGAACGATGTGTCGATGCTTTGAATAGGTTGAAGTCTAAGTCTCTCTCCGTCGACGACATTCAACGATTTTCTAAGTCCATATTTAGGTTGGAGACTCTGAGAAGTCACAAGAGCCCTAAGATCCGTGAAGTATCTCACTCCTTGTTCGATTCATGGTTGGCCACTCTCTACGCACAAGGAAGAGACCAATCTCTCAAGCCGAAGAAGACAGACACAGAGACGGTGCTTGCAAAAACGCAACGAGACAACAAAGACAAAGATGGTAAGGTTACAACCAAAACTTTGCTTCCTCCTCCCAAGAGAGTCGCTTCTTCCGCAAACCCTAATTCCGCGGCGAAAACAGAGGAGATGGTGGAGTTATTCGAAGCAGCCAAGAAAGCGGCTGACGTGGCCAACGCTAAGGGTATTCTCTCTGGCAAAGCTGATGCGTCTCGGTGCGTTGAGGCTATCACATTGCTCACGAAGATGAACGTCACTCCAAAACCTAATGAGCCAAGGAGGATGTTGGAGAGGCTTCAAGGACTTACAAGACACAAGGACCGGACTATTTGCAACGCTGCAACATCTCTTCTCCAGTCTTGGAGGCAGAGGATCAGAGAAGGTGAAGCCAAAGCTGCGACTACGATCGATATGATTCTTGACAAACCTCGTGGAGCTCATCAGATACGTGGTCAGAGAGCTTTAGAAGAGAGCCTACAAAGAAGAGGAGTACTGATTTGAAGAACGTTGATTAAACAAAAGAATGTCTCTGTTGGATCAAGAAGGGTATTAGGACTTGATATAGAATCCGTTTGTAAAAGTTGACGAAACAGTTTTATATGTAAGCAATTGCTTCGATTGTCTATTAATATGATCTCACGATTTGTTTTGTTTCTTATGTTTCCATTAGTACATTGTTTGATATTGAAGTAACTTTTTTTTCACATCTTGATATTGAAGTAACTAATTTGATTGACCAACTTTGCATGAGTACATGTCAGAGGTAGAGAAGGAAGAAACAGTTTTATTTATTCATCAACTGATAACATAGTACATTATTTTATAAACAAAGATTTGAACGTTATAAACTACTAATTCAAACATGCAATTATTCCAAAACACAGGTACCTAAGATAGAGATATGTATGTGCGTTACATGTTGACAACTTTAGAAAGCAGAAACGCATTAACTAAATTAGGTAATTAAATGATGCAATCAATTATACTAAACGAAACCGTAATAAAAGGGGAAACTCCTTTCCGTGTGTCTCACGCGAAGTGTTTTCAACTTTTGTTTGTTTGTTTATTCAAAAGAGTTTCAAAAGGATCGCAGCGTCGTCCCCATCTCTCTCTCTCCCTTTCATTTTCCCCTTCTGTTTCGGATCTTTCTTACTTCCGTACACTCCAAGGAGAAACAAACAAAAATAGAAACTCTTCTTCTTCTCTTTCACCTAATTCAATATCTGATCTCTGGTGCGTTAGGGTCTGTTTGTTTCTTTCTCTCTTCTCAAAATGGGACAACAGAATTTGATCTACAGCTTCGTAGCTCGTGGCACGGTGATTCTGGCCGAGTATACTGAGTTTAAAGGAAACTTTACTTCCGTCGCTGCACAGTGCCTCCAAAAGCTTCCTTCTTCCAACAACAAGTTTACCTACAATTGCGACGGTCACACTTTCAATTACCTCGTGGAAAATGGTTTCAGTGAGTCCCTCTCTTCTCGATCCGACCACAATTTTGGTAGACATAGATGCATCTTTACAATGCATCTATTTGGTCATTTTTTTATTGGTACCATTGACATTGGTGTGTTTATATTTATAGCATTCTTTATGCTTCTGTGAATGTTCATTTGTGCATTTGGACCATGCTTAGGTTTCTTGCAAATGAATTGTCTGAAATTAGTTTTTTTTTCTTTCTGGAACTCTGTTTTTCTCTGGTTGAGCTTTTATGTATGGCTTGCTTTTGAGAAGACCTTATTGTATGCTTCATGTTTTATGTTATTAAGAGTCAGGTAGGTTTTGGAGAATCAAGTTGGTTGATAGGTTACTTGTGAATCATTAATGAAGATGCAGTTATGTACTTAGCTCTTGTTCTGCTTAAGTAGTTTCTTATTGTAAGTCATGTTGTTGTGTAGCGTATTGTGTTGTTGCTGTTGAATCTGCTGGGAGGCAGATCACAATGGCTTTCTTGGAGCGTGTCAAAGAAGATTTCAACAAGAGATATGGTGGTGGAAAAGCTACCACTGCTAAACCCAACAGCTTGAACAAAGAGTTTGGGTACGTCTAAAAACATCATCTTTTAAAATCTATGGATATGATTGATAACTTGTTTTGGTTGTACCGTAGGTCTAAACTCAAGGGGCACATGCAGTACTGTGTGGATCATCCTGAGGAGATTAACAAACTTTCTAAGGTTAAGGCTCAGGTGACCGAGGTGAAAGGTGTTATGATGGAGAACATTGAGAAGGTCAGAATAATACAATAATGTCAATACCACAATTCTGTTTTATTAATTTGAGCAGATTTTTCATAAATGATTTAATTTTCTCTGCCCCTAATGTAATAATGACTCGCCCTCTGTCTGAGCAGGTCCTTGACCGTGGTGAGAAAATTGAACTTCTAGTGGACAAAACTGAGAACCTTCGTTCACAGGTTAGTACTTACATAAATGGATAAGCATACAAAGGCATTTTAGTTTGTCACGGTCTAATATTTGCAATATGTATATCTTACAGGCACAAGATTTCAGAACGCAAGGAACAAAAATAAGAAGAAAGATGTGGTGGGAGAACATGAAGATTAAGCTCATAGTCGCTGGTATCATCGTTGCCTTGATTCTCATCATTATTCTCTCGGTGTGTCATGGGTTCAAGTGTACCTAAAACTTGAAACAATAAGAAGATTGTGTTGAGAAAGTATCAGCACCATATTGCTCTACTAGGCTAATGGAAACTCCTCACCGTGTATGCCCCTTCTTTTTCGTTCTATTTTCTTGGAATCTTTTTTTTTTCTTTTTAAAAAAAAATTTTGTTAGGGGAAAGTTAATACGATAACTCAGTACTGAGAAATGATCCTTTAGGGTATGAATGTTTGGTAAGAGATGTAAACTGTTATGCTCATGGTGATGCCTTTTTTTTTTTTTGTAATCTTAAAGTTCAATGTTAGGTTTCTGATGTTTCCCTTCCATCTTCTATTTGTTCACTTTAGGAAAAAATAATAAATTAGGTCTTGTGGAGATGGTTCTTGATTCTGCCATTTTTCTCATTATAAACAAAAAAACACAGAGATGCATATGAATATGACAACAAAATTCACCATTCTTAATTGATAGAAAGATAAAGATAAAACAACATAAGGAAATGCTTGACAAACAAGGGAAGATCTCACATTCAGACACAAAATAATCCTACCTGTTTCTGCGCTTTCTCTGGCACATTATCTTGTTAAGCCACTCCGGCTTGTATGAAGCAATGACTTGTGCTATTGTCACTCCAAACAACACTCCAATCCCATACCCTATCGCAGTTGCTTTCCAGCTGATCAACACATCTTCTTTTTCTTTGTCTTCATCCTTAGGTTGTTGCGCTGGTGGGGAATTAGTCCCAAAGCAACTTTTCTCGAGAGGAAAACCACAAAGCCCTGCATTCCCTTCAAATGATGATTTAGGCTGCCCCGTAATCTGTGTTCCTTGCGGTATTTCACCTTTGAGTTGGTTGTGAGACACATCTATGTACTCCAAAAATGAGAGGCTGGCTATTCCATTAGGAATAGTCCCTGAGAGTTGGTTTCTTGATAAGTCTAGTGACTCTAACTTGACCAAATTGGAGAAAGACGGAGGAATATGGCCTGTGAAGGCATTGTTGGATAAGTTGAGAGCAATCAGTGACTTTAAAACACCAATAGACTCAGGAATCTGTCCTTCAAGTTTGTTCCCAGAAAAATCAATAGTGGCATAGGAAGTAAGTACCCTTGCTTGCTCCATGGTTAGACCTTTGTATCTCAAATCTGTAACGTCAATAAAAATAAAGAACGTATATATTTCTCCGTCTTCTTTTCTTCTGTAGTTACTTTTATGGAATTCCATATACAATGCCTCATCTTCATTCATCATGGCTGATGATGCTTTCCAATTCAAAAAATAATCCGGTGGCAAGGTTCCGGTAAAGCTGTTGTCAGATATCTCAAGTATCCGGAGCTCCGGAAAACCAAGAGGACCATGATCAGGAGGAGATATAGCGCCATGGAATTTGTTTGAACGGAGGATAAGGACTTGCAAATTCTGTAAAGCCTTCAAAGAGAAAGGAAACGTGTCTTTTATTTTGTTGTTCTCAACGTTTAGAAACTGTAGAGAGGAGCAGTTTACAAGAGACCTTGGAAGCTTCCCGGTTAGTTTGTTGTATCCAACGTCAAGTGTCTGAAGCGATGCACCGGCATAAAACATGTCAGGGATGCTTCCTTCCAAGTTGTTCTTCCGAAGACTCACAAAAGTCACGTTACTCAAGCATCGAGGAATATGACCCGTGAGGTTGTTGAAATGTAACAACAAATGCGTGAGAGACTTATAATTGCATATTGAAAGAGGTATGCTTCCCGAGAATCTATTTCCTTGTGCAGTGAAGATGTTGATAGAGAGTGGTAGAATAGGAATGGTTCCTTCAAAGTCGTTTAGCTGCAGATCTAGAATCTTCACCGATGAATTTACTGAAACTTTGGACGGACCGTCGAAACCATTAAGCAAGTTGCTTGAAAGCGCCACTGAATGTAGACGAGGAAGGTTCCATAACCACTTGGGGACTTTCCCTTTGATTCTGTTGGTGGACAGGTCTATAAACTCCAAGTTCTTTAGCATCTTTAAGATGTTTGGGAACTCCCTGATGCCGCAGTCTGATAAGTACAAGATCTCCAAGTTTGGTTGTATGTTTGAATTTGAACCTAAACTGGACAGAGATATACTATTGCCGGAAAGGGCGAGGTATGACAAAGATTTGAAGGAAGAGAAGAGGCTAAAGTCAATTGGGTAGCTTATGTTAAGGAAATTAAGGTCAAGCTGGTTGAGGTTGGTGAGGTTTGAGATAGGCTCTATGATTTTTCCTTCGAAATGATTGTTCCCAAGGAGCAAACTCTCTAGCCTTGATGACGAAGAGGAGTTGGGGAATACAATAGAGCCAGTGAGGTCGTTTTCACGCACTTCAACAAATGACAAGAAAGGCAAAGTGAGGAGAGAAGAAGGAATGGTTCCAGAGAATCTATTATCGGAAAGGTTGGTTAGGTTTTGTACAAGTGGCAGATTACCGGTGAGCTTGTTGTTGCTAAGGTACAAATGGGTTAAGGAAGTTAGGTTACTAATTGTGGTAGGAACTTGACCGTAAAAGTTATTAGAGGAAAGAGACAGTAACTCTAGTCTGTTGAGGTTTCCAAATTGGGAATAGAGTGGTGAACTGAAGAAGTTGAAATCTAGATTAAGGTAACTGAGATGGTGCAACTCAAAGAGGCTACTGTTGGGACTCAAAGTTCCTGAGAAGTGATTATAAGAAAGGTCTAAGGCTACAAGGTTGGTTAGATTCCGTACAAGTGGGAAACTACCGTTGAACTCATTTTGGGAAAGGTCTAAGCCGGTAAGTAGGTTTAGGTAGTTAAGTGAAGAAGGAACTTGCCCGAGGAAACCGTTAAAGGCAAGACATAAGTACTCTAACCTGTTGAGATTTCCAAATTCGAAAGGAAGTGAAGAGGAGATGAAGTTGTTGTGACTGAGGTCAAGGTAGCGAAGATTATGCAACTTGAAGAGGCTACTGTTGGGATTTAGAGTTCCAGAGAAGTGATTAAAGGAAAGGCTTAAAACGGTGAGGTTTGTTAGGTTCGGGACAAGTGGGAAACTACCGGTGAGCTCATTTTGGGAAAGGTCTAAAAGGGAAAGAAGTTTTAGGTTATTAAATGAGGAAGGAACTTGGCCTGCAAAGCCGTTACTGGAAAGCGATAAGACCTCTAACCTGTTGAGATTGCCAAATTCATAAGGAAGTGAAGAAGAGATGAAGTTTTGGCTGAGGTTTAGATAACGAAGATGATGCAACTTGAAGAGGCTACTGTTGGGCTTTAGAGTTCCAGCGAGGCAGGCCCTGAGTCTCAGCATTGTGACCGCACCAGTCGAGTTATCACACCAGACTCCATTAAAGGGGTCATTGTGGTTGCAGTGGAGGGTATCAAACTCGTTCTTGAACTCAGTGAAAGCTTGAATCTGGTGGGGACGGCAAGCAACAAGACCAACAACAGGGTTTTGGAAAGAGAAGAGGGAATTTGTAGTAGAGACACTACATAGTAAAAACAGCATGAGAAAATGTAAACGCATACGAGTTTCAGACATGGTATTCATTACTACTTGTAAGAAGATTTATTTTGGTTTGAGAGATGAAAAGAGAAGGTTGGTGGTATAAATACTTATCTGAAGTCGTTGAAGTCTTTGGTGTTATAAATACTTATTTTGAGTGGCAAGCACTTAGCCATACTTTTCTCCAATCCCCAATACTTAAAAAAAAAAGGTTGGATGAAAAATATGGTTAAGTACCAATCATATCCTGAAGTGAAATCCACGTTAGTTAATTTTTCTAGCGTATAACTTGGATTGTAAAAGTATAACAGAAAAGGACAAGAACTTGGATTGAATATATATACTGTATGAAATTTCTCACAAAAGTTCAAAACAACATAAATCAGTTTAGCATAACGATAGACACATTAGACTTGTTTAGTGGATTGTCAAGTTTCAGACCTCGTAACGTGAGGGCCGGTCACAGACCAAAGATGGTCAGTTATAGTTTAGCTAAGCAGGGGCGGATCCACATTATAGAGAGAGGACACCATAATTTAGTGCTCAATATAGTTTTGGCAAAGATCAATAAATAGAATTATGTTCAGCTTTTAGTCAAAATAATAATAATAGAATTATGCCTCCATTGCTTCTTTTTTTTTTCTTTGTCAGTCAAACCCAGTACTAAAAAAAAAGAAAAAACTATTTTACATGGGAATTTTAATCATAAGCACAGTAGACTTTGATTTTGATTGATTCTGTTTCTAAGAGCATGTTTATAGAGAAAGAAGATGTGGAGTCCCTTATGGGACCCATGATTCTTTTTTTTGCTGATTTTTTTTTGTTTAAGAAAAATAAAGACCATCACGTATCCCACCGGCTCCACAAACCGTATTAGGGGCATCTCTTAATTAAGTTACAAAAGAGACGATTCCTTAATTTTTGGTGAGACCTATGAACTTTAAACTATTTTTTTTGGCATCTTTAAGCTAAGGGCCTATAAACATGTTTTAAGGGTCTGATTGGTTACAATGCAGCGATTGCGGTTGCGGGCGTTTGCAGATGTGGGAGATTGCGGTTTTAACCGTTAGTAAGAGATTTATAAGACTGGTTCAACGGTTAATTTTTTTTGCGTTGCGGGATACTTATGACTGGTTTATTATCAAATACAACAGCAGTTAAGTAATAAATTAACAATGTTTATATTTTATATAATTATCAAAATATTAAAATCATATTTTCATGATAAATATAAATTTTTTATTGAAAAAACTGCACTATTAAATTTTTAAAAAATTAAAGAAAATTTTTTTTTGGAAATTTTATAATATAAATATTTCAGTATATCAATTATTAGTTTAAAATTTTAACTGAATATTTTACTTTTATATTTATATAGTTTTTTGGAAAAAAATATTTTTTATCCTTCCGCAATCACCCGCGAGACCGCAACCGCAAACGCTAGCTGGAACCAACTTTTGAATTTTAGAGATTCATAGCGATTTGAAGCGGTTTATAGAGTTTTATGTGATTGTTGCACGACGCCAACAACCGCTACCAACCATGAAAGCTATGTTTGCGGGTGATGGCGGGAGAAGCAGTCAGGCCTAAGAAGATTTGAAGCTACCGGGTTCACGAGGTTAAACCCATTCATTAGTGAAGCCAACAACGACCCAATACTAGGCCCAATAAGAAGCTTATAACTTTAGACATTGAGGCCCATTAATAAACTTTTAATAACGAATCCTAAGCTAGCTTTACCCAAAAGCATCATCAAAACCAAACTTCTGACTGAATGATCTCTGTCTGAATCTTGATCTCCTAAACAATTCCCTGGTATCTCTCTCTCGCCAACCCTAGATTCTTTGATCCTTTCACTTATGAATTCGATTACTTCTATGTTTAATTCCACGAATCGCTCACCTCGTGTTAGCTTATAACTTACTAATTTTAACTTCCTCTGATTTTCATATTGCTCTTTTCTGTATGCTCAGTAACCAATGCTTGATCTCTAAAGAAACGGGTTCTGAAGTTTGAATTAGGGTTCTGATCTACTCAGAAACGCTTCTGGTTTACTGGGTCTTGCTCAAGTTAGTTTCTTTATTTATCAAACAATCGAAAATTCTGAGTCGAATTAAATTTGAAATTGTGTAGCTCGATCTTGGGGTTGAAGCTATGGCGCAGAGTAATTGGGAAGCTGATAAGATGTAAGTTAGATTGTGTAGTTAAAAGTGTAAAACTTTTTCGATTCCCATTTATTCTTGTTCACTTTCCTTTTTATGTTTATTGGGTGTGTGTAGGCTTGACGTTTACATATATGATTATTTGGTGAAGAAGAAACTTCATAACACTGCTAAGTCTTTTATGACTGAAGGCAAAGTCTCTCCTGATCCTGTTGGTAAAAACCCACTTCTGAAGTTTATGTTTTGACCGAGTTAAGTTGTTTCTTGTTTTATTGGGAATTGAGCTTTGAGCTCTGTGATTGAATTATTGGATTGCGTGAATGATGTAGCAATTGATGCTCCTGGAGGGTTTCTTTTTGAGTGGTGGTCTGTGTTCTGGGACATCTTCATTGCGAGGACGAACGAGAAACATTCAGAGGCTGCTGCAGCGTATATAGAGGTAGACTATCTTACCATATGGAGTTTTAGTCTCTTTTATTTTTTTCAGTTTGGTAACTGAACAGTGGCTTTTGAGATTTAGGCACAGCAAGGTAAAGCAAGGGAGCAACAACTTCAAGTGCAGCAAATGCAGATGATGCGCCAGATGCAGCGTAGGGATCATTCTCTTGGGGGTCCAATGAATGTTATTGGTTCTGAAGGGATGATTGGGCAGTCTAATGCAAGTGCTGTGGCTGCAAAAATGTACGAGGAGCGTATGAAGCAACCTAATCCTATGAACACTGAGACATCCCAACCTCATATGGATGCAAGGATGTCCCTTCTCAAATCAGGAAATAATCACCATGGGTAAAAATTTGTCTCAGCTTCATTTTCTTGCATGCGTATTTATTGTCTTCACACCGTTTTGAAACCTTTCTCGTCTTGTCTTTTCTGTCCTTAAACAGTCAGATGGTCCCAGGTAATCATCAAGGAGGTGTTTCCGCAGCTCTGCAGCAACTTCAGTCACGAAGTCAGCAGACTCCTGTAATTACTTTACTTGATATGACTGTTAAAATCTCCAATTAAATATTTTGGTGTGCTTCTTAGTCTCTTGAAACATGCAGGAAATAAAAACTGAAGTTAATCTTGGTGCATCTCCAAGACAACTGCCAGTGGATCCTTCTACAGTTTATGGCCAAGGAATCCTGCAATCAAAGCCTGGGATGGGGAATGCAGGTAATTACATCAAATGTAATCGGTATTAACAGATATTCCTTGTTATATTCTGAAAAATTATGGTGAACACAGGGTTATAAGGTTAATAGCCTCACGAATAATTTTTGTTTACAAGTCTTATGGTGGTGTTTTTTTTCTTTTGTGAAGGATTAAACCCTGGAGTAAGTGCTCTTCCTTTAAAAGGATGGCCATTAACTGTAAGTCACTGAGATTCTCTTGTAGGATTTATCTGTTTATCATTCCAAGCCCAGTGTTTTTTCATGAGGTTTCTTGACAAATGTTACAGGGCATCGAGACAATCCGACCAGGTTTAGGCCCTCAGGTTCAGAAAGCTTTCCTTCAAAACCAAAATCAGTTTCAGCTCTCGCCGCAGCAGCAACAACAACAACAGATCTTGGCTCAGGTTCAAGGTCAAGGAAATATGACTAATTCACCCATGTATGGAGACATGGACCCTAGAAGATATACTGGATTACCTAGAGGACCCCTGAATTCGAAAGATGGTCAACAGAATGCGAATGATGGATCTATAGGTTCCCCTATGCAGTCCAGCTCGTCAAAGGTAAGATTTCTGATCTCAAATCAGTAAAAAAATTGCCTGCAAGTAATAACTGATGACTGCCAAACAATTTGTTTCTGATTTTCCTTATTCCGTTGCTGTTTGTTGGTCTGTAGCATATCAATATGCCGCCAGTACAGCAATCTTCTTCTCAGCAACAAGATCCATTACTATCACAGCAATCACAGCAGGTATTTTATGTTGATCATGTGGTTTGTTGGTCCAAATTAGTATATTCTGAAGTTTGTAAAGATGTTTGAACCACAACTTCCGCTTCGTGTGTTGATAGAACAACCGCAAAAGAAAGGGACCGTCCTCTTCTGGTCCTGCTAACAGTACAGGGACAGGAAACACCGTCGGCCCATCCAACTCACAGCCGTCAACTCCGTCAACGCAGCATACACCTATCGATGGATCTGGTATAACTGGTAACATGCAGCATATGAATAACATGCCAAAAGGGCCAATGATGTATGGTTCTGATGGAATAGGTGGTCTTGCCTCATCAGCAAACCAACTGGTGTGTTTCTTGATCTCCTCAGAAAAATGATAACAACCATCTAGCTTTGGTCTAGTAACATCTGAATCCAGCATGCAGCTGTTTTATTTTCATCTTTTTTATGATAAGAGTTAATAGCTGCAGGACGACATGGAACCTTTTGGAGATGTGGGAGCCTTAGAAGACAATGTAGAATCTTTTTTGTCACAAGATGATGGAGATGGAGGAAGCTTGTTTAGCACCACCTTAAAGCGGAACCCTTCTGAGCATGCAGAACCTTCAAAGGGTATTATCTCAGCCCTTCAGAATCAACATGCGATACTAATTGAAGATGTATAATAAACCGTGATTCCTTTTTTTCCTTTCAGGTTTTAGTTTCAGTGAGGTTAGTTCTATAAGAAGAAGTTCTAATAAGGTCATCTGCTGTAATTTCTCAACTGATGGGAAGTTGTTGGCTAGCGCTGGACATGATAAGAAGGTGCAACATCTTAATCCCCTAAGCAACCTGTTTCTTTAAAACCAGATAATGTGGATGCAAATTTCTTTTTTTGTCAGTAGCTTTATATTTGGAACATGGAAACACTAATAACTGAAAGCGCTCCAGAAGAACATGGTCATATCATCACAGATGTTCGCTTCAGACCTAATTCAACTCAACTTGCTACGTCGTCCTTCGACAAAACTATCAAAATCTGGGATGCGTCTGAGGTATAGTAATTCATTCTCTTTTAGTTGAACATGCAGCCATTTTCTCTTGTTCAGTTGTGACTAACTACTTACCAATTTCTGCAGCCTAGTTACTTTGTAAGAACGATTACTGGTCATAATGCACCTGTAATGTCCGTTGATTTTCACCCTAAGAAAACAGATCTTTTCTGCTCTTGTGATGGCAACAATGAGATTCGCTTATGGAACATCAACGCTCCTAATTGCCTTCGTGCTATTAAGGCAAGGCTCTTTGAACTTTCGTTTGGCTTCTCCCCCGAACTGAACTCTGTTTTTCTAATCGTTGAGTTTTCCGAGCACAGGGTGCTAGCACGCAAGTACGGTTCCAGCCAAGAAGTGGACAAATGCTTGCTGCAGCTTCGGAAAATCTTGTGTCAATTTATGATTTTGATAATGACAGACGGGTCAACTTGTTAAAGGTAAACCCGAAGGCGAAGATAATACTTCTTTTTCTTCCTAATTCAGTCCAAATAAGACTTTTGTTTTCTACTTTGAAAACTTAGAAGTCCAATGCGCTTTCTTGTTTCATAAAATCAAATGCTTAGACCTGTGCATATGTCTCATGGATTGGTTTGGTTTTGATCTGTTTTAGGGACATACCTCAAATGTAAATTCTGTTTGTTGGAACCCAAGCGGCGAGTTGATAGCTTCTGTTAGTGAAGACTCTGTTAAGTTATGGTCTCTGAACTCAGGAGATTGTATCCACGAGCTGAGTTCTAGTGGAAACAAATTCCACTCTTGCGTTTTTCACCCTAGCTATCCCAATCTCTTGGTCATTGGTGGCTACCAGGTATATATCTCAGGCATTATTGTTACTTGATTCTGAATGATTTGTGTGTTCGTTTACTTTAAATTGTGGTAAACGAATGTGTTGTAGTCACTGGAGCTGTGGAACACAAAGGAGAACAAATGTATGACCATACCAGCTCACGAGTGTGTGATCTCTGCATTAGCTCAGTCACCTACGACAGGAATGATGGCGTCTGCAAGTCATGACAAATCCGTAAAGATATGGAAGTAGAAAAAAATATGTGTTTCTTCAAAAAATGAAAGTAAAATGAGCTTTGACTATTTTGAGTCTAATTATTTGTTACATGTTTTACATTCAATAAGTTGTTTAATATGGGTTTGTTTACGTCAAAAGAAAAGGCAACGGACTTGTGATATAACTCCAATTGTTGTTTTATGATTGTGATTTTCTTATTCTTCTTGTGTGATCTCTAATGTTTAAGTGAGACAGACATGTTAGAGAATTCTCTTAACCAAACCTTTTTTCCATAAAAATCTATATGGTAACAAGACTACAATAACACTTGGTTGGTTTAGTACGATCTATACAAAGCAAAAAATCTAAACATACATACATTGTAAACTATAAATCTCCAAGAACATGTTAGAATCAAGGACGAATGTGTTCATAGTTTTACAAACTTAGGCTTTTAAGTGTACTTTTTACAAGGCGAGCCTTCTTCCTTCGACTAAGACTCCTTTCACTTGAAAGAGTCTTTTACGAGGCTTTTAGTTTTTCTTAAACAGTGTGTACGTTTTCTTTATGGATTGGGACTTGAGACCTAAAATTAAATGCGGGCGATTATAACCACTAAGTCATTAAAGATCCCATAAGTTTATATTTAAGGAAAAAACAAATAGAAATATCTTATTAAATATTTTGTATGAATTATTTGTGAAATGTGAAACACAAAATAATGAATATTTTGTATTTTAAATATCTAATTAAAACATAATGTTTTGTAGAATAATTATAAATCTAAATTATTATTTTGTAAGATCACTGCTCTGTATTTACGCCTGATTCATCATCATAAACATATTTTTTGCGTTTGAGATAGTTGAGTATACTTAAATACCAGTTGTTGGAAAATTAATTTTGACATATGTTGGGTTTCTCAATCAACAATACTCCTTTTTGTCCATCGAATCTGAAAAACTATATGACGTTCATCCAAGTTTGACATCTAAACTTATGTGTCAAAAGAATTTACTGACGTCGTTTATTTCTTTGTTTTAAGATCCTTATATTAACTTAACGTTTGTGAAATTCTAGAATGAATTCAGGTTGCAATCTTTTTTATAACGTTGGACATCTATTTGAAGAGAACATTTATCACATATTACCAGAAAAAGCGTTCATTATAAAGAATAATACTATATGCGTCATCATTTCTACTTATATAAGTATCGAAATTACTACTCTCGAGTTTTCAATATAAATAGAAAAAAAAACTTAACAAAGTAGTCAAGAAACAGCTCACCTTAGGCCTGGGCATTTTACCCGGACCTGAAGACCCGACCCGAAACCGACCCGAAAAAACCGGGTCCGGGTAGGAACCGATCCGAGCAAATTACCGTATCGGGTCTTGGATCCGACCCGGACCGAACCCGAAACCCGATGGGTACCCGAATTAATAGTGTAAATTAAATAAAATGCATTGAGGGGGAGTCGAAGATGGATTGTTTCTATAGAGAGTAAGAGGGTCAACCACTAGGAGACAACGAATTGTTGTTATATCTCGCATAGTTTAATATATATACACATTTTAATATAGTAAAAACACAAATTTTGAATAAAATTTTGAATATTTTCGGATATATAAGTATTTTCAGATTTTTTTTTTATATATTTAGGTATTTTTTAGGTCGAACTCGAACTCGAACCGAACCCGACCCGAAACCGAACCGAATCCGAACCGATAAATTCTAATTACCCGAATGGGTCCAACTATCTAAGACCCGACCCGACCCGGACCCAGTACGACCCGAACCGAAACCAAAAATTTGAAATTACCCTATCGGGTCCTAAACTCCTAGACCCGAAAGACCCGGACCCGAAAGGACCCGACCCGAACCCGACCCGACTACCCGAATGTCCAGGCCTAGCTCACCTAAAGAAAATAGAATACTCTACTAAAAAAGCTTTCAAAAATAAAATTGAAAAGAAAAAGAGTAAAATTAAAAATTAAAAAGAGAGAGAAAGAGACAGAGAGTAGACCCCACACAGACACAGCACCATCTACAACCCTAACTCCGATCCATTTTTTTCTTTCTCACCGAACCTTTTCTCTCTCTGTCTCTCTGTCTGTTTTTTCTTTGTTCGCTAGGGAAAATGGGGAAATACATGAGGAAGAGCAAATTCGATGGAGAAGCTAATATATCTTTGATGGACGCTTCTCCTTCTCCTTCTTCTCAGCTCGGTGTTCTTACTCGAGCTCAATCCCTAGCTCTCCAACGCCGCCTTCAAAAACCTCCACCGACTTCTCCTTCTCCTAATCCTCCGTCTAAACGGAAACAGAAGGTGAATGATTCTGGCAACTCGTATCTTCAGCTACGTAGTCGTCGGCTCCAGAAGAAACCTCCAATTGTTGTAATCAAACAGAGAAAGCAGCAGCAGAGGAAAGAATCACGCGGCCGAAACCCTAAGTCAGATTCTGTTGCTGAGAGTGATGATGTCTATGGCAAAGAGAAGGAACTGAATGATGAAATCAACAAAGGCTCAACTTCATTTGAGGGAAAAAAATTGGAGCTTCAGGGCATTGAAAGGTATCATTTTTGTTATAAATTTTTTTGGTCAAAGATGTATACTTCCAATTTTCCCCCAATTTTATTAGAATATATGGCTTACATGCGGTTTGAATCTGTTTGATTTTGGATTATTATGTTGGTAATTTGTAGTCATTTTTTTATGTGGAGAAAGAACCAAATAAAACGACTAAAATTTCATATTTTTCTGAGCTTTTTAAAAAATTTAAAATGTGTAAATGATATATGATGCCATCTTTGCTTTATCTGACAGATCAGATATTAATCAGTGTGTTCCTTTTCTTGATAAAGTTTTTCTTTTTATTATCTTCTTCAATTACTTGTGCAAGTAAGAAGGTGAAAGTAACAATTTGTTTTTTCTTTAATCTGCTTTAGATGTAAAGAAGACGGTCCTTGTGTCTGAGATATCTTCTTAACAACTCTTGAAAGTTTAATACTTGTTGTTTATTCTGTTGTGGGCGATGTTGGTCTTTAGGTTCTCTCTCTGTTTTGGTAGCTTTTAAACATGTTAGATCAACTTCAGCTTCACTATATAGGCATTAATCTCTGCTTGGTTTTGCTGCTAACTTCAGGAAACATAGTTAACTGCTCTTTATCTTTGAGAGGATTGTTTGTTTGAAAGGAAATTAAATTAACACTTTTTACTTACTTTCAGCTTAAACAGGAGCACAAGTGAATCCACACCATGCACTTTGAATAGAGAGGCTGAGATTAACACAAGCGTGGAATCGGCTACAAAGCTTAATACTAGTGACAACAGCGACCAAAGAGAAGAGAACTTGTCGGGCAGTCACCGTCCAACTACACCTGATATGGACAGGTTTTTCTCCGGTGCTGAAGAAGAACAACAGAGGCTGTTCATTGAAAAGTATGAGCCTCCTCTTTGATATGCTCTGTTCTGCAGTTAACTAAAACCCTTTTGGTTTTGTATCCTTAACGGTTCATAAACTTTTGTTTTCAGGTACAACTTTGACCCTGTGAACGAACAACCACTACCAGGAAGGTTTGAATGGGAGAAGGTAGATAATTAATAGAGGAGGGGGATTAGTAGTTAATACAGAGTTTAGTAACATTATAATGCTAATCATCGGTTTGATCTTATTTCCATCATCCGTGTCTTAACTTTTTCCAACATGTAAAGAAGTTAGGATAAAAAACTTCATGTAGCGTTTTCAAACTGGTGTTTGTAACATAAGTGGCTGTAAAGGGGTTTGTGTAACACATAACTGATACCAACCCTTTTTAAGTCTAAACAGATAACATAGTAGTAGTAGCGTTTAGGGGTTAAAGTTATGTCGGCTAATGATCAGTGGTTTCTAAAGATCTGAGAATGTGAGTTTTGCATTCTCTTGTAACCATTTTAAAATCTATCCTTTTGTGTGTAAACATAACATGTACTGATCTCAATAAAGATACCCCTTTCTTGTTGTCTTCATCTTAAGTTGTTGTTCTTATCATCATCATTATGGTCCATGTGTTGGCTCTTCAGACATGTAACATCACAATGACAGGTAAGTAATTTTCTTACTGATAATAGAGAGACAGAAGCTGTTCGTTATTGATATGGATTCTCATAGTGGTCTTTTGTTTTGTCTCTGTCTCTCACTAAAATCTCAAGTGTTAGAAAGATTCTCTTTATCTATCTTCTATCACTCTTCTGTGGGTGTTGTGTCCATTGTACTTTCCACTTAGTGATTTGTGCCCACTATTTTGTCTTAATATACAAAACTTGTGCCCACTATCACATCATCAGCATCACTGTGATCATCTTTTGATCCATCGATACTTCCTCACGTCTTTCCTTTACACAAAGATTCTTTTATTTGTCTTGTGATTGTATTGATTTGAGTCTCAACCTGACGTCCTTCAAACAGTTGCCAAATTTGCTGCAGAATCCTAGCCCAAGTGTGCTTTAAATGAATATGTTTTTGCTTGATGAGTTAACAAGTATCGAAATTTGTGTCTGTGTGTTGTGACTTGCGGCCAAAGCGGAGGAGAGGTACAAAAGAAGGACCCACAGGCAGAAAAAGTTTTCTCGATTCTTTGTGTGTCAGGATATGGTTTTAGTGAGCCCAAGTCACTACCTGTCACACACTCTATTAACTGCCAGAAAGCTCCATACTGCAACCAGTTAAAACGTCTCTTTTTTGCAAAGTTTGATTAAATGTTAAGTATTGTTTAAGTTTTTAGTAAGATCTTGATCTTGTTTAGAGATTCATCTTTTGACATTGCAAGCTAAGAAAAAAGTGTTATGATTGGAACCAATACTGAATCACACCTTCTAACATTACACTCAATGTCATAAGACTCATAACTTTTGGTTTCATTGATAATAACACTGCAAAACACATTTGAACAACAAAAGATAGTAACAGAGGGAGAGATTTTGAGACTTAAACCTCTATCTCTCTCCGTATATAATATGGTACGTGGGAACAATGCTCAGGACAAAAAGAAAGACTACCCTGACTTTGTGTAAATACGAATCCCAACGGCTAAACCAAGAATGGCTAGAGGTACAAGGAACTGGAGGATCTTGATTATGAACTCAGAGGTCTTGTCTTGATTGTAGTGAGGTTGTTTAGGAGGAGTGTATTTGGTTTTCTTTGGGATTGTTGTTGTGTCAATCTCTCCTACGTAGTACTGTTCCATCATCTCTCTTGCGCTCTCGCTGTGACCCACGTCCTCAAAATCATCCGTTGCATCCTTACCTTTAAAGTAGAAGAATAACAAAGACCATCATGCTATGTATCAATCATCAAAGCTTGGATCTTGGAGATAGTTGTTATTGATACAGACCTGTTGAAGACAAAAGAACTTCATCCCCACCAGGATGGTCTTCAAGAAACTTGGTCACATCATACACCTGCGTTTTAAAAAAGATTTGAATTAGGATATGAGGAAAAATGAAGTGAAGACAAATGAAACTCAGTTATCAAGTTTCTGAACTTTGAAGATTTCATGTTAAATCAAGAAGTTGTAAACACATGAGATCACAATAACTGAATCCTTAGCATATGTGGAATGATTACAACCTTTTCCACTATAGATTTGATCCAATCAAGCAAAAAAAAACATTATTCAGACTTAGAAAGTCTTAACACTTTAAAAGCTTAATCACATGCAAACACCAAGATGCTATAAAGAAAGGAAGATTCAAGCATGAGATCTCTTGGAGAAAGAACTAAAAAGAAACCTTTCCATTGATGACTATCCAGCAGTCATGAGCTTGATTGTGCTCTGAGACTTGTGAAAGAGTAAAGATCTTTGCTTCGTTCCCCATTGTCTTTTGCTTCTCTTTACCCACCAAAACAAACTGACACTGAGATTTAAAGGTGAAAACTTTATAAACTGAGTGAGAGTTGTTGAGATAGGACCGGTTCGGTTTGGTTTGTTTTTATTCATACGGGGGATCGGTTTGTGAGTGTTGGTAGGTGTGAAAACCGGTTTAGTTAAATTGGATTGTGGATTTGTGCTCGTTACTACGTAACTAACTCCAGTTCTGCTGTTTTGGGTATCCATTTGACTGATATTTGGAAACACATGTACCACTTTTAAACCGATGGGTTCACTGGTTTGGTATAGTTGCTATTCCCGGTTGGGTGGGTGGAGTAGGTGGGCAGTTGCAAATGTTGCGGTTGTGCTCCAATTTTTTTCCTTTTTTCAGTCAAGATCGGTAGGTGAATGATGTTCAATAAATTCAAATATATGAGAATTCTTTGAAAGTTAAATTCCCAAAATAGCATTAACTAAAGATTAAAATAGCATTTTGCCCAAAAAAACTAAAATAAGTAAATAACATATGCAATCTTAATGACTTAATCAATGACACTGTGACTTAATCTATTATCAAAACTCAATGCTTAGTTTTGCCAAAATTATTGACTAAAGAATAAGCTTACTTGAACATGTTCTTTTGTATTGCATATGTATATATATTTTAAAATATATAGATTATAATTATCATTTATCTGTTCAATGGCACTTTTTGCAGTCATTTTTTGTATGTTTTTTTTTGGTATTAGTCTTATGGAAGATTTGACCATTTAATCAAATATTATTCCGTCTAATATATGACAATTATCCAAAGGTAAAATTAAGAGTTTCACAAGTAAATAATATATATATATATATATATATATGTTTTTTTATCAATATATATATGTGTGTATTTTGAGAATATCTAAAGTAGAAACTCCGTTAAGGTTGCTGTAGTATCATTCTTGGACAAATTAGATTTAGCCACACACAAAAGTTAAATTCAAATTACAAAGCAGTACACACACATCAAATACTAAAATTTCCACAATAGATTCGTGTATTGTAATCTTATTTTATATAGTTGACAAAAAAAAAGTTCTTATTTTATATGTCTAAGGAAACGTGCTTTTATCCGTGTGCAAAGCTTGCAAGAGATCACCACATGAGCGTGTCTACATTGTCCTCATATTGGTTCTTAAGAACCTCTCTCGGAGTGAGATTAATTCAGGTAAAGCTTGAGCCATTGTCATCCGATTTATAGGAGATTGTTCACAACACCTTATTCCCACATTAAAAACCATCTTCAAACACTCAGCAATAGTACTCATGTTCTTGTTACTAATCTCACCGCCGAGAATCGATTTGTCAGCTATCTCAAGGACATGTTCTTCTGCCAATGCCGACTCGGTATAGCTACGGAGAGTAAAACCTTCCTCAAAAATTTCATCCGTTGGACGCTTTCCAGTGAACATCTCCATCAAAAGAACCCCAAAGCTGTACAAATCCCCTTCCCTCGATGGTTTTCCTCCCATTCCATATTCTTCACAATTATGAAAAACAAATGTTATGATAAAAAAAAAATTAGAAAGATAACATGATTAAATAAATATTCACAAATATAAGTTGTTTTATATTAAGTGTCACTTTAGTTTATGCATACCAATTATAAAATAGTTAATTTTGCATATTTTCTATAGAAAAACCCAAATACTTATATATCCTACCCATATTTCAACTAATAGAAAAATAAATTGAAATCCAAAATTAATAAATTTTGCATTGAAAGTCGAAAACACACTTATTTTATAACAAAAGAAAAATCTATATTATAATGATACACTTCCAAGGCTCCTAAGCCTATCCACCTCAGCAAGTTTACGGGCCCCATGTGTGTTATTAGGGAAAACAAAAACGTATAACATTTTGTAAGATTAAATGTTATTGATGAGTGATGAAATGGCCCAGTGGTGTAAGTTGGTGACTAGAAGTTTGTACCGCGAGTGTGCGGGTTCGAAACGCAGTGTTTGCATGTAATTTTTTTTTTATTTAGGCTTTTCGGGATACCTAAAAGCTTAGGGAGATTCAGAATGATTTTTTATGCTGGTTGTTGGGATACAAAATAAGTTAAGGATTTGAAACTTTATGAGACCATCTTATATACTTTTATAAGAAATGTTATCATGTTCTAACCTCCAATATCATTTCAATTCAGTTATAATAATCAAATAAAATAAAAACATATTTTTCAATAATAAATATTTACCCCGAACCATTCAGATCAGCCATAAATCTCATATACATCACAATTAAAAAATATATATATATATATATACAACATAATTTTAGAAAGAAAATTACACTAATAAACACATGTCCTTTTTTGTCTTGTCTCCATTAAATTATTTTTTTACATGAAAGCACTAATAACAATAATGCTCGATAAAATCACTAATAAAGGGAATGCTCGATAAAATCACTATGAAGATAAAATATGAAAATATCAACCCATATGAATTTGATGTTTATTCTTTTATTATACTAATCAAGTTGTGTGACTTCTAATGTTTCATTCATCACCATTATAGATAAGCCAGATAAACAAATGTTAAAAAAAAAACAGCAAAGTCTCATACACAAAACTACACAACACATCAACAACGTATCCAATCCCCGCGCTTGCGCGGGGACTATGCATCTAGTATTCTACAAGGACACTGAATATGAAACGAAAAGACTATTTTTTTTTTACCTGGTGCTGCATAGCCGATGGTTCCTCTAACACCCGTGGAGCTAACTTGGTTGATGAAAGACTCTTGGTCAATGATCCGAGCAAGACCAAAGTCACTTACATGGGCCGTTAAATCATTGTCTAGGAGAACATTGCTTGGCTTTAGATCACAATGAGCCACAGGGTCATAACAATGGGAATGTATATAATCCAAAACAGAAGCCACATCTACGGCTATGTTAAGTCGTTCAAACAGCTTAAGCGGTCTTGAATGATTTAAAGAGTCTTCTTCAACTTCAACTTCCACTTCCACTTGGTGCAGCCACGTGTCTAGGTTTCCGTTGGGCATAAACTCATACACTAGAGCTTTGAATTCATTTCCTTTGAAATCAATACTTGAGCAAGAAGTCACAAGTTTCACTAGGTTTCGATGCCTTATACCTTTCAAGGCTTCACATTCCGACGTAAAGCTCTTGGCCGCGCCTCGCGTTTGAAGATTTAGAACTTTAACTGCAACAGCTTTAGACTCCGGACCAAGCAACCCTCTAAAAACAGAGCCAAAGTTTCCTGAACCAATCAGATTTCTGGAGGAGAAATCATTCGTCGCAGCTCGAAGCTCCTCATAGCTTACTCTTTCATAGAAAGGTTCTAATGTTGGAGGATCCAACATCAAGTGGTTGGTGTTTTTATTCTTCCTTTTCATAAGGGCTACTAATAATAGTGCTAACAAGAGAAGAGAAGCTACACCAATACCAACACCAACACCGATGAAAATCTTCTTCTTGTTTGATGAATAATGTCTTGTAGTCCCATTTTGAGGGCATGGCTTTAACTTTAGTTCAGGGATTCCTCCACAAAGATTTCTATTACCAGACATCGAAAACTTTTCAGGATGTTGAAACACTCCTTTTGTTGGAACCACTCCTTGAAAATTGTTACCAGAGAGATCTAAAATCTCCAACGAGGTAAAGTTGGCAAGATATTCAGGTATGTTGCCTGAAAAATTGTTGTTTGATAAGTTAAAGAGTGTAAGTCCTCTCAAGTTTCTGATATTCGGAATAACTCCATCAAATGAATTTCCTCCTAGGTAAAGTTTTTCCATGTTGAGACAATCTCCTATAGTCTCTGGGATGTTTCCATGCAATCTATTGTCTGCGACAGATATTTGAGTAACTTGTTTTAATCTTCCAACATCTTTAGGAAAAGAACCGGTCAGCTGATTACGATTCACAAACAATTGAACCAGAGACTCTAACTGCATGATTTCTTGGGGTATAGTCCCGTTTAACCTGTTATATCCTATCCAAAGATATAACAGAAAACGACAGTTTCCAAGACTAGGAGGAATGCTTCCTTCAAAATTATTTTGGAATAAATGGAGTTTCACTAACCGAGTGATGTTTCCAAGATCACTTGGTATCTCTCCTGACATTCTATTTGAGTTCAGTGCCAATAAATTCAATCCTGAAATCTTCCCAAGAGATGCTGGTATTCCTTGTGTCAACAAATTGTATTCCATGCCAAGTGCTTGCAGGTTTATGAGATTCCCAATCTCATGAGGAATGCTTCCAGATATGAGATTACCTCCAAGGTATATTGCTGTTATCTCGTTAGAAAGATTAGCTACATAGATTGGTAATTCCCCTCCAAGTCTATTGTAACCAACATCCAACATCTGAAGCTTAGTGCAGTTGACCAAAGACTTGAAAAATTCAAGATCTCCCCCTAAGTTGTTTCCAAAAGAATTTTGACTAAGCCCCAGATACTGAATATTTTTTAGTGCTCCAAAACTAACTGGGATACTTCCTGTGAAATGGTTTTGTGAAACCTCTAGCTGTTTCAGGGTAGAGATATTGGATATTGTTTTGGGAAGATCACCTGAGAAAGAGTTCACCCCCAAATGCAACTCTTTAAGTGTTGCAAGCATATATCCAAAATCAGGTCTTAGACTACCGGAGAAATGGTTGGCAGCAATGGACAAATACCTAAGTGAGGATAAGTTATAAATTTCTGGTGGGAAAACACCTGAGAGATTATTCATTGAAATTTGGAGATTTATCAACTGGGACAATCTACCTATTGTGTTTGGAACCTCTCCCTCCATATTATTATATGCAATGGAAAGTTGTTTGAGTGATGTTAAGTTTCCTAGAGATGTTGGAAACCTCCCTGAAAGTTTGTTTTTACTAAGAAACAAACTCTCAAGGCTAGACAACGATCCTAGCTCTGAAGGTAAACCGTTTACAAGACTGTTTGATGTTAAAACAAGTGTCACCAATCTAGAGCAGTTAGAG